TTACCATCAGGTGATCCGTCTGCTCGTTTACTTATGCCATAAAAAAAACAAAAATACCGTTGGTATTATTATATTAGGCAAAAATCAAAGCGAAAGATCACTGAACCAAATTCTAAGAACCTGAAACCTCGCAATTCGCTACTGAGTACATAATCACTGAGCTAACAAAGCGAATAGATGTTGAACAATATTAAATTGCAAATGGCGGCTCTGTGCCATTTTTTTTTTCAATTACTATTGTCGTTAGCTTCGAACAGTCTTTTGTTTTTCTCTTTTTTCTGTCTACACCTTGGTTTGTGACCTTATTTTGAAATAGTTGGAACTGAAATAATTGTAACATTTTGAAGAAACTATCCGTTGTTACCTGTAATCAAACAGTATGATCTAACATCTATGAAATATGATTACACTAGCTTTTACCCGCGGCTTCGCTCGCGTCACAAAAGGATAAAAAGTAACATATGTGACATATATCAATACACACAGTGCCATCTATACCAATACTTTTGTTTTCCCTCGGGAATATCAAATTTTTCCGGGATAAACAGTACCCTATTATTTAATCCGGACTTCTAACTTTACGTCTGCAAAAATTCAAAGCAATCGGTTTAGTAGTTACGGCGTGAAGGCGGAACAAACAAACAAACTCACTTTCCGATTTATAATATTAGTAAGGATAGTGTGTGCATAAATCATTAGATATGATGGTTGCAAACTTGGTTAAGTTAAAAAGGCAAGCACCATGTTAGACTATAAGATTTTAAGATAAGATTTTTTTTTGCTGCCTGCCTCGTTGGTCGAGTGGTCGCAAGTGCGACTGCCGGGCAATGGGTCTCGGGTTCGATTCCCGGGTCGGGCAAAGTATTACTGGGTTTTAAAAAATTCTGATTAGTAGCACTGAGTCTGTAAATGTGCCCGGTATGTGGCAATAGGCTCACCCCCTATTGCATGGGACTCATAACATAAATAGTGAAAACGGGTGATACATTGTACAGTAGCATAATGTGCGCCTCTGCCTACCCCTTCGGGGATAAAAAGGCGTGTTGTTATGATTTTTTTTTGTATTGTTTTTTTATTTTAGTATTTTTTGTAATTTGTGCAATGCGTCAAGCGTGTCTTTTTACTGTTCTCACATACACGTACAGTATTGTAATATGTCAGAGACATTGTAGAACTTTTTTTGAAAAGAGTAACGAATGGAGTTTCTTGCTCGTTCTTCTCCACTCGAATCTACATTTTGGAATGAGCACCTAGCTTCACCAAGTTTCACCCAGCTTCACTGACGGACTGACTGACAGACTATTATTTATTTTGTATTTGTGGACGTTTCAAATGTACCAAACTATGGTTTAATTGAAATTATTTGAAATTGAATATAAATGCTTGGTCTTTGACTTGACTTTAAGGTCTTTAAAAAGCTTTTATTCGGAAGACCTGTAACGAACAATGTAATGGAATCTTAGGTATCTGAATGGGGTTACCATTACAATTTATTCAAACACCAAATGGCGATAATTCATAAATAGGCCATTTTAATATCGCGGTCGCGGCGATGTCGCGCAGCCAATAGGCACGCTAGAGATTAGAGACTACTTTGTAAGAACAAATGTTGTGAATTTTTTATAATCGTGAATACGGATGATGACAGGGTATGAAAATTAAAAATGTCCGTCAGTTTGGTAATGAAAAAATATTAGACACATATTTTTTATTTTGTTGTATAATAAAATGATACTTAGATATAACGAATCAAAGTTTAGGAGTTGGGGCTAAAACGTCATTTCTACGTATAAAATGTACATAGAAGTGACGTCACGCGACATTTCAAATCAATATATCTCCGGAAATATTCGTTTCTGAAAGAAAATAAAAAATACGTGTCTAATGATTTAAAATAATCTACCAGACGGACATTAAAATAAAAATTAGTCATCTACCCTATTACACTTATCACTTACAATTAGAAAAATAATTAAAAGGCTCCATAACACTATTGCTTCATGAGTTATGCCCTTAATACAGTTGCGTATCAAGCTGTTATCATTAAGAAAGTCTGTACTAATTAGCGGATACACACTCATACGTACATACAATGTTAATAATTGCTATATAATGGAAGGATATTGCAAGTAAGTTGTAGATGCCCTTGTGTTCATAGCTGTTAATTTTCTTCAATTTTAGTCAAACTCATCACTATCACTACATAGTATAAAACAAAGTCGCTATCCGCTGTCTGCCTGTCCCTATGTATGCTTTTTTTTAAGTGGGAAAAATAATCGAATGACTGCTCCCGCCTAACAAAAAAACAAATACTTTGCCCGACTGGGGATTTGAACCCGAGAGCCCTTGCGACCACTCAGCCAATGAGACGGTTGAAATGTAGGAGTTCAAGAGGAAGGTTGATGTGTATAATAATAATATTAGGACTACATCAGCAACTTGCTTTGCACTATCGACTTGTTGAGTCTGAGGTACCGTACTACAAGTATGTGCCCGACCCAGTTCTGGAAAATGACCATATCACGTTGTACTGGGACCGGTCTATCATCACTGACAGGACTATTATAGCCAACAAACCTGATATAGTGGTGATAGATCGACAACTGCGCCGCACGATGATAATCGATATCACTATTCCTCATGATGAGAACCTCGTGAAAGCTGAAAAAGATAAACAAATCAAATATCTTGATTTGGCTCACGAGGTTGTCGACATGTGGAATGTAGATTCGGCTATCATTGTGCCGATAGTCGTATCGGCCAATGGGTTAATCCCTAATAGCCTCGACAACCACCTTAGGAGGCTAGCGTTAGGTAGTTGGGTCAAGGGCCTGATACAGAAGGCAGTGCTCCTTGAAACGGCACGTATCGTGAGAGGTTTCTGTCTCTGGAGCCCTAACCACCGGTAGCTTGGACCATGCTCCCGCTACTGGTTGGCTCCTATTTTTTATATTTTTAAATATTATTTTTATATTTTTGTAAATAGTATTTAAAAATGTATTTTATAGAGAATTTAGAATAAATAAATGGAAATATTAGGACTATATTACAGTCCTCAATTTCCCCAATCCCCGAATCCTAAACAATAATCAAATTCCTAATCCCCAAAAGGCAGGTAACGCACTTGTATCTTTGGTATTTCGGGTGTCCATGGGCGGCGCCGATTGCTTACCATCAGGTCATCCGTCTGCTCGTATACCGGTTTGATTCCATAAAAAAACTGAAGACTGTCAAATGTGAATTTTATTTTACAGTTAAAAACTAACTTTACCTTTACCCGTAACACAGGCTCTGCTTAGTACTCCTGTCTCCCTTTAATTGCTGAATTCATAAACATTTGTTAAAAGTTTGTTGTTACGTACCTAAAATATGTTTTTACCTGTTATGATTTTATATATTATGTAAGAAATGGGAGAAATAAATGAACAAATTATAAAATTATTATAAACTGATGGTTAAAAAATCGGCCCTTAATCACCTTCATATTTGGCACCACAACAAACGTCTTACTTACATGTTAATAAAATCGTTAAAACTTGTAAAATAGCTTATAGTCGATTAAGGTCACTAACGATTTTGAACATTATGCTCAACGCCTCAAGGACGAATATTGAACAAAATAATTACATAACATTATAAGCTTATAACATTACTAACATTCAGCTCGCGGTTTTGTGTACACCTTTTGAGGCGTTCAGGGTATATGTACAAAAAAATTATTATGCTCATTTTTTTCACTAGCCACAATAGGGTAGTTTTAAAAATGTAATTAGTCCGTCAGTTAGATAATGAAAAAATATTAGGCACGTATTTTTTTATTTTCTCGTATAAAGTTACAATATCTAAATAAAATGGCGTTAAGTTTAGTAGTGGGAGGTAGTTACGTCACAACGTGGTATATTTTGTAGCACGCTGTGACGTCACGCGACATTTCAAATCAATATATCGTCAAAAGTATTTAATTTTGTGAGGAAAGAAAAAATACGTGTCTAATGTTTCATAATACCAGTCGGACATTAAAACAAAAATTAGGCATCTACCTTATTCAAGGAGTTAGACAAAATAAAACGTTCAGTATTGAATCATATTCAGTTATAATTTACGTTCAAATATTAATTCTGTACACACCTACATAGTACATAATACATTTTACAAACTAGTAGTTGATTTTTGTAGCCATACTTATAACAAAACCATACATATTTAATTTTATATTTGTATATTTATTTTCATACATTCCCTACTTATACTATTTACATTTCATCTTAAACAAATTCAATAAGTTTTTTCCAAAATTGCAAAAAATATATTCTTTAATTGCAATTTGTGACATCACATTGTTTGCGTCAAAAACTATACTTATATATGTCTTAAAATTAACTATAAAAACATTAACAGTTAACTTAGAATTGAATTAGTTAATGAGATACGGCAATAATATATTTTTGATTAAGAAAATATTGTCTGCCTCGTTGGTCGAGTGGTCGCAATTGCGACTGCCGAGCAAGGGGTCTCGGGTTCGATTCCCGGGTCGGGCAACGTATTACTGGGTTTTTAAAAATTCTCAGTAGTAGCACGGAGTCTGGAACTGTGCCGTGTATATGGCAATAGGCTCACCCCCTATTACATGGGACTCATAACATAAATAGTGAAAAGTGGGTGTTACATTGTACAGTGGTATAATGTGCACCTCTGCCTACTCCTTCGAGGATAAAAGGCGTGATGTTATGTATGTAAATATTGTACTTCGTTATGCACAATATGCCAATACAAAATGTTACAAAGATTACCTTCATTTAACACAAATCACAAAACAACATTTACTGTCTGTTTGAGTCAGAGTAGTAAACATTTTTTTGCACCAAAGACCGTCAATCGATAAAATACATCTTCAAAAATTTCTATAATAAATCACCACATCGTTGTTTAACCTTTATGTACATAAGTATAAACTTTTGAGTCATAGCCCTTGCCGATAACCTTGTCATCAATCCAGTCTCTTAGGTTTGAACATCCACGTACACGCCAGGGACGCCATCTTTCCCGCAACCGACACCCCAAGCAACCATAGCACTTTGAACGAACCGATCTGTGTCCATTGGACAAGCTAATGGGCTGCCACCGTCACCAGTACAAGTGTCTTTATCTTTCTCACCACCAGCGCACATAAATGTTGAATGCAAATTGAATAACTTTCCAAGAGACGTATTACTACGAAGTAAATGCTCACATCTATCATGGCTTACAACAGGCAAAACAACTTTTTTAAGTACAGTGGAGTAACGACCTTCTTTGCCAAACTTGTCTTTACCCCAACCAGTTGCTAGGCAACGCGTACCGTCCTCTTGTTGAACGGTGCTGGCAAACATACGACTCCTACGTTCGGAGCAAGTTCTACTGGTTTAGCGAGAAACAGTAAAGCTATGTCGTAGAATAGTACTCTTTTTATAAATCCTTATGAATTTCAATTGAAACTACATCTCTGTCTTGGTATGGGTACGGTTCTGTCACCGATCTTGTGTCCCATTCTCCTGCTCTGATTTTAATATCTGTTTTACCATGGACGTTGTGTGCTACTGTTAGAACGACACTTGGGTGTATAAGAGAGCCTCCGCCGATGTATTTGTTGAGCTTTGGACTATCTGGATCATTCTCGAATAGTGGAACGTTTTCAAAAATAGCAACCATCCAGGGAAATTCTCCAAATTTTTCTCAGTTAGCTCTTTGGTTGAGCTTAGAGCAGCAGGGTTCGCCCATCCACAACCTTCGCGTTCTAATGGTGCGTAAGACAATCTGTCGGCTTTCTCACAACAAACATCGTATACGAAGTACAAACATGTTCACTGACAGCTGCTATATCAATTTGTCCGGCACGATTTGCGGTATTGTTATGATTGCATAAATAATAAGGCACACATTCTCCTTGCTCACCTTCCTCAGTCTTACAAATTTCATGACTTGATTGAACTGGAATTTTCAGTCTTCTGTGTATTATTTTTAACTGTTGTTGTGTTCGCACTCCCAGAATCTTGGTTTTCTTTAACATCTTTGTTAGTGGACCGTTTACGTCTAGACTTAAAATGATCTAGAGATAATGTATCAGTTTCTTTGCAACAGACTTCTATGTAAGAAGGACAATTGTAATCACTGAGATCTTCATCACCTTGGCCTGAATCATTGGTAGAATTACAGAGATAGTAGGGCACGCATTTACCTTGCTTACCACCTCTTGCCTTACATGTAACGTCACCTTTACTAGTATCAGCTGGTACAGGTGGTTTAGGATCTTGCACTGCAGCTTTTTCTGTAATTTTTTCTTTCACTTCATTAAATGGAGACCGTTTAATTAAGCTTTGTAGTGTTCTTCGGAGAATTGATGTGATTTGTGACAGCAAACGTCCATGTACGACGAACAAGCATTGTCAACGAAACGGAGGTCGATTATTGGTTCAGTGCTAGTGTTGGTAGCGTTGCAGAGGTAATAAACAATACATTCTCCTTCCAACCCATCAAGTGTTGTGCACGTTTTATTTTCTTTAACTATTTCTGCTGGTTTCTTAGACTCTTGAGTAACTTTAGCAGTTGTAGGTCCAAAAATTTGATCTATCAGTGCGTCAACGTCGATATTTTCACAAAAAACTGCCGCAAATAGTATGAAGAATGGCAGTATTTTTAGCATTTTGAATGCTTTGTATCGAACACCACTTTATCAAATAATCACAAGATATTATGATGCGGGTATTTATATTATATAGTATTATCTTATTTTCCTCGTTCTACGAGTATCGCGGTTGGGTGTCAACGTGGACTGGATGGATACACAGTGCAGCCGAAGATTATGTGGCAGCCATTTTTAATAGAGCCGGTTGGAGTAGTTCATCAGATACACGTTTTCCTTCTGTAAACATTGCAGTACGTTGGGGTTTTTTGTGAATTTTGATGAGATCACAAACAAGACTCATTATTTACTGTTGATAAAAAACCGGTATTTTAATATTTTGATTCTTGAGATGGTATATAGTTAGATGATCTAATAAATGTTTTTACGGATTGAGGAGCAATAATTACATTAGTGTTTAGTAAACTGTTTAATCATTTCCATCGATTTATTGTACTTCTTACTGTCCTTTGAGCCATATATTAGCAAGCATAACATAACATAACATCACGCCTTTTATACCCGAAGGTGTAGGCAGAGGTGCACATTATGCCACTGTACAATGTAACACCCACTTTTCACTATTTATTTTATGAGTCCCATGTAATAGAAGGTGAGCCTATGGCCATATACCGGGTACAATTCCAGACTCCGTGCTACTACTGAGATTTTTTTTAAAACACAGTAATAATTTGCCTGACCCGGGGCATTAAACCCGAGGCCCCTTGCCCGGCAGTCGCACTTGCGACCACACAGCCAACGAGGCAGTCAGTATTAGCAAGCACTTATAAAATAATCACTCGAACAACGAAACAATAGTTCTAAAAATCGATATAGTAAACTGTACTATAATATTGGTTCCCAATACACATAACATTTATTTAAGAAACTGCTTAGCACATTCGAAATACGTACAAATATAAATAGAAAATATTTTTCCAAAGCTATATCTCCAAATGGATGCTATAAACATATTTAATGGCTGAAAATATTTTGACTTTACGATAGGTAGCTTAGAAATATTTTTCTAAAATATTATCCAGTTCATAGAAAAATTGTAGGAGAAAACTCAGCAACATTTTTGTACCATCTTTCGATTGGTACTGAGGAAAGCTTTTAGTAATAAATTAAGGTACATATATATATATATGTATATATATATAATCACGTCTATTATCCCTGAATGGGTAGGCACATTATGGCACTTAATGCCATACTATTCAATGTAACACCCACTTTTCACTATTTATGTTATGAGTCCCATGTAATAGGGGGTGAGCCTATTGCCATATCTCCAGACATCACATGTCCAGACTCCGTGCTACTACTGAGAATTTTTAAAATACCCAGTAACACTTTGCCCGACCCGGGAATCAAACCCGAGACCCCTAGCCCTTGCAGTCGTAAATTGTAAATTGAGATACCTTCATAGTTTTATCTGACATGTGATATCATGTGGATTATTTTAGTTTTTTAGGGACGTATTTGAAAATTAGGGAATTTGAGGATGGAATACTAAAAAATACTTCCGTATTGGATTTGGGGGGGGGGGGTAAAGTAATCAAACGACTCTACTAGCCTTGGGTGAGGCGAGGAGGGTATGTCAGAATTTTACTGACTGAAAACCCCTCTACTCCTGTCTTAAGTCGGAGCAGGAACAAACCACAAGGGCAAGAGTTGAGCTGATTTTTGGAGAGTACTTACTTCATTTTTATCTCCTTGCCACAGATGAACCACCGGAGTCGATATTCGATTATTACTCAATGCCTGCGCTGTCAGAGTTGGACGACTTCGACCTTTGTCTGAAGAAGCCTGACGCAGTCTACTGCATAGTAGACCTGGAACTTCTAGAAGACGATACGCCATTGTATCAGTTTATAAAGGTATAGTTTTCATTATATTTATTACTTTACAGACACATAATTAACGTAGGTTTCGTGTCAACAAAAATAATAATTCTTAAAACTTTTTAAATCGGTTAATTAATATACTGAAACCTTCTCAGAAATGTACTTACCTTTTTTAAACCGTATCAAAATCAGTTCAGGCGATCGCGAGATAATAGTGCAGAAATATGCATACCTTATCACATCCGCATCATCCCTTACTACCAGGCGTGATAGTGGTCAAACGTCCACCCATCCTGTATAAAAAAAAATAATGTGATCAGTGGTTACAATTTTACAATTAGTTTTCGAAACTAATTTTAAAAACATATCATGAAAAATCCATGCTCTTAGTGCTTTTTTTATGCTCAGAAACCATCCAAATAAAGATAAATAGAAATGATAAGAAACCTTCTTCAGATGACCGCAAGGATCATTCATACATTCGTTCAAAAAATTAGTAGCCGCTTACATCACCTTCAAAGGCAGTATCTATGTACAAAAGGTTCAACAAAGTACCTATAGAACTGTTAATTTAAGCCTGTACCTTCAATTGCTCAGTAAACTGCAAATATTGCCTTGACATGGAATGTGTTGATACGAAAATATTTATCTTTTAGTCCAAATGTTTGATGCAGTATGTTATTTGTATTTTGAATTAATGGGTACAATTTAAGGAGGATCCATACATCCCTTTAACGTGGAAGACTACGGGAAGGCCTTTGTCCAGCATTGGACGTCTTTCGACTGTTGTTTTTGATGATGATGATGATGATTGAGGCTATAAATTCTGACTAGTAGGTCTTAGTTAGAGTATTTATGTAGCAGATTCTTTTTCCATGCGTATCTCTTACTTTCATTTTAAAGTTCGCGATATAATCCGATCAGAACCAAGACAGTTGTTCATGTCCCTGGGATGCGCTGGACTTCAGTGTTCCGGTGTTTTCATGGTTGTATCTACTGTAGATCCTGGCTTACAGGAGTTGCAGCGGTTTTGGGAGGATGTGGCGGGCTTGTCCTTTAAAAGAAAAAAGTTCGCGGTATAACATTTTTTTGTATACTTAAAGGTAAAATATACCAATTTTAAACACGAAAGCATTCTTCAATGAGCATGCTAATGTTTATCAAAATTAGCATCCTCATTTCGTGTATATTACCAAATCAATAGGCGTTCGTTTTTTGAAAATTTTTGTTGAGCATGCTCAATAGAAACGCCTTAGTTTAGCATGCTATTTTAGGGCATGTGTAACAGTGCCCTAAGTCTCGTGTTAGTGGATTTTATTAGTGACCTTTTTAGGAGATTGGTGTCATTCTAATAAAAGCTACTATCACTTATAATTTACTAGCTTTTACCCGCGGCTTCGCTCGCGTCACAAAAGGATAAAAAGTAGCCTATGTGACATATACCAATACACACAGCGCCATCTATACCAATACTTTTGTTTTTCCTCGGGAATATCAACCCTATTATTTAATCCGGACTTATAACTTTACGTCTGCAAAAATTGAAAGCAATCGGTTTAGTAGAAACGGCGTGAAAGCGGAACAAACAAACAAACTCACTTTCCGATTTATTATATTAGTAAGAAAGTAAGGATTTACAGAAGGTAAATTACTTTGTCCTTTATAAACCGATAAATAATAGACCTTCTTTTTGTCTACTGTCTAGAACTTCTCCTCATTATCCTACAAGAATTATCAGCACTCGAAGCTACATCGAGGAGTGTGTGGCTCCAAGCATTGTGGCCTGAACACTACTCATGCAGACGCTGGCGAGTCTACGTCAGAAGCTTTGAAGAACTGCCTGAATACCAGCATACATCAGGGGTATGGATTGCAGGTAATGAGAAATTATTTTGATTTTAAAAAGTTACGTACATACTTAAATACCATTGAGAGACAGAAAGATTACACAGATGTATAGATAGATCATATCGTTCGCTCAAGATTTCCATACTCAATTTTGAGTGGGCACTGGTCTAGTACTATTTTTTAACATGGTGTTATTATCATTGCACTGCTATTAGATAATGTCGTTTGACTAAGATACGGTATCAACATGTACTTGAGTTTCTTATGGCTCCAAGGGGTACTAACTCGTTGAGTACCGTATTTATAGACACAATTAAAGAACAATAGGTTGCGGTCACCGGTAACCGCTTGGTGTTTGACAGTTTAATAAAGACAATTGAGGCTTTAACGAAGCGACGACATTCATTAATAAAATTCTCAAAAAGCTTAATAAATATCTATAACTAGTAGTAGCCCGCGACTTCGTCCGCGTAGAATAATGACCTCTGGCAGAATTTAGGCTTTTGAATTAGTTTTTGTCAATTCAGTCCCGTAGGCGATAGTGTGATAATTAGCCTATATGTTAACCCGACCTGTTAGTAATATTCATGCAAAATTTTAAGTAAATCCATGCAGTACTTTTTGAGATCATCCCGGACATACATACAGACAGACAGACAAAAATTCCAAAAATCATATTTTTGGCTTCGGTATCAATTGCAGATCATGCCACAAGTATTCTTATAAAAAAATATATTCATTGTACAATTTTAACTTTTCTACGATTTTATTATATGTATAGATAGATATATGTTTATCTGAAGAACACCAAACAAAATTACTTATAAGTTTATGGCTGCAAAAAAGTAGTTTCCTACTAAATAGTTCAAAATTTTCGGAAGAAAATAATAGAATTTTAAGATGCATTTTTACGCTCAATTTCGGCCATTATTGGTTTAAATTACGAGCTGAACATGTGTTACTAAGCGCTAAAAGCCGTTTAGCAACAATGTAGAATTTTTGGGGAAACTCTCAGTAGTAAATTTGTCTTTAACTCGTAGTAAAAATGTAAGTTAGAAAATTTGGAAAAAACGAGTTCAGTTTTGAACTAAATGTTACCTGAATCTTATCCTCAAGGTTATTTTCTTTTTCAGGGTTTCTGACTGGATTTGGGTTTGCATTGTTCTCACATAATCAAACCAATAAAACTATGTAACTAGAGAATTGTATTGTAGACCTGATTGAAAAAGAGTAACCTATGGAGTTTCTTGCTCGTTCTTCTCCATAGGAATCTACGCCTTGGAATGAGCAACTAGCTTCACTTATAATTTTTTGTTGTTTGACGTTCAAAAGTGCTATACTGGTCTAATTAAAATAAAAGATTTTGACTTTGACTTTGACTGAAATAGCTAAGTTCTTAATTGAAAGCGTGGACTTGCTTAGATATGAATTTCGGAAAGTCGAATAATACAATCTCCAGTGCAGAGATTAAACTAAAATCCCTACACTTACACATTACGTTCGTACGAGAAATGCTTTGATTTTCTGTATCTATGTGTCCAACCTAATATCCTTTGTCATCGGCAATTATCAAGGTAGAAAGCTAAAAATAAAATTAAACATTCAATATACGTCGGCCCATGAAATATAAAACAAAAATTATGCGGATTATTTGTGCATAGATTTTTAATTTGGCCCTCAATCCAATATGAAAGAGCGCCAACAAAACCGCTTCGTAAAGTTATTTCCAAATAAATATGTTATGACCAACTGATAACTGATTTAATTTTTTATTTTCTACCAGGTGGATACTCTATCAGTCCGGTACTGTAAGACTCAGGATGACTACATACCACCAGATGTACTGGATTACGTCATCGGCGTTCTATTACTGGCTCTTCTATTGGTGAACCTTGGCTGTTCCGCTTATTACTTCTTATGGCCCGTGGAGAAGGAAAAAGGTATAAAAATAATGTTTAAAATCCAGTTTTGAAGCTACCTGCCTACATAAATGTCGTGTGATTTAATAATACAGAATAGTGGTCCCAAAGTTGTGTTGACAACGATTTATCTAAATCAAATTTCCAAAATTTAAATTTTATTTTTCATCGGTGTCGCGGAGAACCTAACGGGTTACCAGGGCTCTGGCTTGACGTGCAGGAGTAGGAACGGGGTGGTTTTTAGTCAGCAGCAGCCAGTTGCCCCGCCGCAGTCAGAACAGAAAATATATACTCTTGAACTCTCAATTTTGTTATTAATTCTTAGAAACTTGACGACTGCCTCGTTGGCCAAGTGGTCGCAAGTGCGACTGCCGGGCAAGGGGTCCCGATTTCAGATCCAGTAGCACGGAGTCTGGAATTGTGCCCGGTAAATGGCAAAAAGCTCACCCCCTATTACATGGGACTCATAACATAAATAGTGAAAAGTGTTACATTGTATAGTGGCATAATGTGCACCTCTGCTTACCCCTTCGAGGATAAATAGAGAGGATAAATTTTTCGATGGATGCCTAACAAAGCTATATGAAATAATGTAACCTTTTTGTTTGATTGTAGCTAATAAATTCATGCTGGCTTTCTGTGTCCAAACGAACTGGAAAGCTTTGAAACATGGAGGTAGCGCTGAGGGTGGGATCTTCAAATGCTTCCAGGCGTTGAGGTAAGAATCCACATTCACAGAGTAACTTATAAATAAAAATCTCAAACAATGAGGTGTGGGTAACTGGTAACTAGGGTTGCCACCCGTACTTTATAATAAAGTATTGAACGTTATTTAAGGTAATTGTACTCTATACTTTATAAGAATAATAAAGTACACGAAAATACTTTATTTTTGCAAAATTCGACATCGATATTTATCGACTTATGTTGAATCGATTTCGCCGCTCGCCAGCGCCACTTAGACAATTTCTAGTTAAGATGCAATTGTTTAGTAAAGATACTAATTTAATACAACTTGGAAAAAGCAATAAAAAGTATATTTTTAAATATAATACTAAATAAGAATAATTTGTACTTTATTTTTGTACTGTGTACTTTTTTTTCTTACCTATAACCGTCAATGTACTTTAAATACCAAAATAAAAGGTGGCAACCCTACTGGTAAAATTGTAAAGTAAGTAGGTTTTGTAAAGTAATAAACAGCAATGGCGATAAAATTGACCTTCATGTTGATATCTTAAGTAAATTAAGGAGAACTTTGTAATATTCACTAAAATTTTTTACTAAATTATATTTGTAGGCACAAATAGGGACATGGAATAGGCACACAATCATAAGCCTGTATTTACAGTAGTGACCTGGATTTGTGTGGGCATATTTCTCGACAACTCAATCAACTGGCAGCCTCCTTCAAGATTAAAATCGTGCTAGCAATACTGAGCGGCTCTTGAGATTTAGACAAACATAATAATGCGTCTTTATTGTAATTGGGTAGTGTTATTTTGACATGAATACATAAAATATGTAGTTTAATTATTGCCTCGTTGGTAGTAGTCACAAAGGCGACTGCCGGGCAAAGGGTTTCGGGTTCTCGGGTCGGGCAAAGTATTCATTAACAGCATACAAATGCCCACAGCTGAGCAAAGCCTCTTCTCACACGGAGAAGGTTTGAATATTAATCACCAAGCTTGCTCAATGCGGGTTGGCGATTACAAACTTATAATTAGACATTATAAGTCCAGGTTTCCTCACGATGTTTTCCTTTATCGTTTGTCAGTGGTATCCAAGCTACCACGACATTTAAAGTATTACTGGGTTTAAAAAAAAACTCAGTAGTAACACGGAGTCTGGACTTCTGCCCTGTATATGGCAATAGGCTCACCCCTAATTACATGGGATTTTGGCCCTTTTCAATCAGGAAATCTGAACTTACAATTTCCATTTATTAGTTTAAATTTGCCAATCAGCCTTGTGCAAGCGTGGTGATTAATGCTAAAATCCCCGCATGAGAAGAGGCCTTTGCAGTGTTAAGTGTTCAATCACCGATGACCGATCTCCACTAACTCCATTATATACTTTATTTCCGATGTCTAGAGACTACTTTTGAATGAACAAAATTTGGGTACGATATATCACCGTATGAAGCAGAAGTCGGCAGTTAGACACTTATAGGCTGATGGTGTTTGTGATGATAAATTGGTATTTTGTTACAGATTCTACACAATGGTGATGATCTTAGGTCTACATTCGATGATATTCATCGGCTACGGATACACCGCTAACCCAGAGTTTATTGAGAATGTAAGTCGTATTATATTTTATTAACAATTAATAATTGCCTACTGCATCTGTCTACTACTCACTGCCTCGTTGGTCGAGAGGTCGCAAGTGCGACGCCGGGGCAAGAGGTCTAGGGTTCGTTTCCCGGGTCAAATTACTTCTGGGTTATTAAAAAAATCTCGGAGTCTAGAATTGTGCCCTTTTGGGGATTACGAATTTGAGGATCGTTGGGGATTCAGGGATTGGGGAGATTGGGGAAGGGGAAGGTAATTGGGCCTCCGGTAACCTCACTCACACGACGAACCAACACAACGCAATCGTTGCTTTACGTCGGATTTCTTTACAGAAATCCGACGTACCTTACGGCCGTGGTATCACTCCGGTCGATCCGGCTCATTCGTGCTGAAGCGTAGCTCTCCCACACTAGATTTGACAATCATAATACCAAACTACATTCGTGCTATCTAGAAAGCAGAATAACCATTACTAAATGACCTAACGATACATTGACGCCATCTTGTAATCAGAAAAACGGTTATGCACATTTAAATAAATTTTGACAACTGTCATCTGTCTAAATGACATTTTTTTTCCTCTGTGTCATGGGTGCGTTTACAAACATACAAGTTCACATACACATGATACCCAGACCAACAATCTGTGGATCACACAAATAAATGTTCCGTGCGGGAATCGAACCCACGACACGTTGCACGGCAGCCAGTTGCCCAGCCACCGTGCCAACCGTGCAGTCGACATTATTAATGACACTGACAACTACTAGTATCACAACTTTATTAACAGTTAAACTGAAGTGAATATCTCACTATGCAATCGTTGCCTAAAGAATTTCACAACTTAATGCATTTACTGCAGTATAATATTTTAGCTGTACTTCGCGTCTCACTTAGAATTATTGTGCAATAATAAACCTTATGTTGTACCGGAGATAATGCTAAGAGTGATTGTCGTTTTGTTTGTGCATCCTTGGTAGAATCATGGTTGTTCGTATACGTTAGAAGTTGTATGTGTGTGTGTGTGATTTTTGAATGTACACTGATGATTTTAACAAAACGTTACAAATATGAGGAACTAAATATGGTTCATATTCATGAGCAGCATCAGTTCATATTCGGTTTTCGGTTTTCTCGCGTAATTGTTCGAGGAACTCAACTACTTTCAAGCCATACTAGAAGCTCATATTCATGAGTGTGTTTGGCGGAATGCTACTATTAAAGAACAACTTAAAACTGTATAGCATTTCAGAATTTGTACGTAAGATCTGTAATACAATTCCGTAAGGAAATCAAACCTACGACACATTACTCAGCAGTCGTTTGCCCAACCACTGTACCAACCGCATTTCTAAGATCTATTACTCATTCGCCATTTTTAGTTAGAACCTTAGTTTGTAAACTAGTGTGAACTGGACGCAACTGGCAGTTAAATAAAACGGGTTTATGCTACTTCGCAATCCTGAGTTTATGCAGCGGTTGTTGCGTTAAAATCCAATAGGTGTATGTAAGAAGTTGGTACTGTATTAGTTACTAGCAGCCCGTCCCGACTTCGCACGGGGTAGACAATTATTTATTTTTGGAAATTTGGATTGTTGTAGTGACATAACTACAATAGTTGGACATATGCTACCGCGGAGTTTTTTGTAGACATTATGATGTTCTTCAATATTGTTGTACATTATTTTGTTCTATTGCTAATAGTTTCGGCAGCGCATTCGACGAAAGACATTTTAAGACTCATTTTTCTACACCTTCGGTTACATTGTTCAAATTTTACCATGGATTTTTCAAAATTAAATGTAGCCTATGTGAAATTGGAAGAATGTAGCATTCTATTGGTGAAAGAATTTTTTAAATCGGCCCAGTACTTTTTGAGCCTATTCATTACAAACATACGAAAATAGGTACAAATCTTTCCTCTTTATAATATTAGTGTAGATAAAATTAACTTGCCGTGTGCCTGTTTTTGCTAGATGTTAATAATGATAAAGATGTAACTCTACTGTACATATTAAATTTTCTCGATTTGATTATATATGGACCAATTGTCAGCTAACATTGTTATTATAATTAACTATATTATATCACGCCTTTTATTCCCGAAGGTGAAGGCAGAGGTGCAAGGTCGCAAGTGCGACTGCCGGGCAAGGGGTCTCGGGTTCGATTCCCGGGTCGGGCAAAGTATTACTAGGTTTTTAAAAATCTCAGTCGTAGTACGGTGTCTGGATTTATGCCCAGTATATGGCAATAGGCTCGCCCCCCATTACATGGGACTCATAACATAAATAGTGAAAAATGGGTGTTACACTGTACAGTGGCATAATGTGCACTTCTAGCTACCCCTTCGGGGATGCCTACCCCATCGTAGACCGCATCATCGCTTACCAACAGGCGGGATATTGGTCAAACGTCGGCCCATCAAATATAAAAAAACACGTACACAGACTAGTTACCCAAAGCCCATTATAACCATCATCCATGACCCTCTTACTAATCACAAACTACGTAACAAACAAACCACATACTAATATTCACATAACCGCAAACTGATTGACCTAGACCAGTTCAACGACCTCTTACGTAAGATGCCGGTCACAACCGGTTTTTGGATAGTGACATTGAATATTGCAATTTTAAAAGTGTTACTTTGGGTCAATAGTATATTTATTCTTTCGATACTTTGAAGGTATAGGTAGACATAATATCACGCCTTTTTATCCTCGAAGGGGTAGACAGAGGTGCACATTACGGCACTTAATGCCACTGTACAATGTAACACCCACTTTTCACTATTTATGTTATGAGTCCCATGTAATAGGGGGTGAGCCTATTGCCATATACCGGGCACAATTCTAGACTCCGTGCTACTACTGAGATTTTTAAAAACCTAGTAATACTTTGTCCGACCCGGGAATCGAATCCGAGACCCCCGACCGAGGCCGAGTGGTCGCAAGTGCGACTACCGGGCAAGGGGTCTCGGGTTCGATTCCCGGGTCGAGCAAAATACTACTGGGTTTTAAAAAACAATCTCAGTAGTAGCACGGAGTCTGGATTTGTTCCCGGTATATGGCAATAGGCTCACCCCCTATTACATGGGACTTATAACATAAATAGTGAAGAGTGAGTGTTACATTGTACAGTGGCATTAAGTGTCATAATGCACCCCTCTGCCTACCCCTTCGGGGATAAAAGGCGTGATGTTGTATATAGATATAGGACGCATAACTCGTAAAAAAATAACAATTAACTACATAAAATTGTAGGTATTTCTATCAAAATTCACCCAAAATGATACCATAGTATATTTATACTGTGATGATACATTGAACCGGGCCAAGTGTCGACCTGAAATTTCATATGAACAAGCATTTTAATACAATGTGACTTCACAATACATATCGCAATGCTTTTAGTGTCCATTAAGCCGGTTAGTGTAATGAAAGCATTATTTTTCAATTTCATAACGATAGACGACTTGGTACTTGATTGAATTCATCGTTTATTTTTATATTTACATCATAACTAGGTTACTTCATGAGTTGGGCAGTTGTAAAGTAGTGTTAAGTTATGAAACATTGAAAGTAAATTCGACATTTTTTTACTACTAAGGTCTTGTACACGAAACTGCGATGCGAAAAATGTGCAAACTCCCTCTACGCATCGCAAGAACTTGCGAATTGATTCGCATCGCGCATCAAAATCTTCTTTGTTTCTTTTTCCTGTATCTTCTATGCTAAATAACAGAAGTGCACACTTCTTTTTACGATCCATGTCACGACCTAGTTTTTAATTTAAAATACGTTTAGTATGGTTGACGGTCGTCGAAGGAATGGTCACCCTGGGAGACGCCTTGTCGCACGAAATCGCATCGCAGCAATTCGCATCGTAATTTTTTGCGTTGCGAATTTGCATCCCATCACATCTCAGTTTTGTGTACGAGCCTTAACTCACAAAACTAATATCAGATCGCTAAAATCTCTTGATCGGTCTAGAGTTTCGACAGAAAGTTCATACAAATAATATGAAAAATATATTGTTATCCCAAGACTTTAAATATACATTGGTTATTAATTTCCATCTTAAGGCTGCGTCCATATAATGGCGAATGCACCGCGAATGTGCCGCTCGTTAGACGTTTGCGAGTTGCGCGCGTACAGTCACGGCAATGGTTTGGTGGCTTAACTCATACAAGATTCGTATAAATAATAATAGGCTGCGCATTCGCGGTGTAGACGCACCTTAAGAGACTACACATTTGGTAGCATAGAAACTAGGTTACACCGTTCTTTGATGAACCTAAACTGCAATATTCAATCCGCCCGTATAACGTGTAGTTTATGGAAAACCTTGTTATGTAGACCATAATAATAAAAAAATCCTTTATTTTCAGGCAAAAGTCGACGGCTCATAGTGTTAGTAAATAGTACAAACTTAAAAAAAAAGTATGTTAGTTATAACACACAAGTACAAAAATAAAACAAAATAATATAATTATACACAAATACAGCACAGATTATTATTAAACATTTTATCACGTCTGACATGCAGCTTGGTAAATCTGTCTATTATAGGCCCTTCTAGCCTTTCTGCGAACACCTTCAGGACGCTGTTGCAGCTCAGAAGCCAATAGTGGACTACATAGCTGTAGATGACAATGCTGATAAAGTTAACTGTATTCCTCTTTGCAGTCTTACGACGACTTCTTCAAGGCTCTCCTTTTCAACGCTCGGGTAATAGTCCAGATCTTCTTCGTGATGGGAGGATTCCTCATGGCTTACAAGATGCTGGTGTACGCTGAGTCTCATCAGTTCACTTTGAAGACTGTTCCTATGGCGCTCGTTAATAGATGGTTGAGGTAAGAATGTGGGGAGAATTCTAAATAAAGAACTTGAATAAAGTGTTAGATAAAAGTGGTTTAAGAACTCTTTTCGAGGCCACAAACTTAGGCCACAAAATATATCAAGGTCATTATTGTAATTTACCAAAAAGAATGCCAAAATTTCATTATATTTTGATTGAGATTCTCTTATTACGTAAAACGGCCAAGCATGCTTTGTAGTCACCTTTGATGGGGTATTATTAGAATACATTTCTAGACGAATTTTGTTCTTCTTAAATCTATCCGGGATAGCATTTAATATTCGTTATTGTTATTTTGTTCGAGTTGAGTACGAGTTCGATTCAAGGCATAGTCTATCTCCGGATCGATTCCGGACAACAAAAACCAAAATAGGTTTTAAAGACTCAATTAAACTTACGAGATATGCACGTTGCGTACACTTGCAGAGATGTTTTTGATGTCCAGAGCGCGAAGAAAAAAGATTCACTTAGTTAGATTTAGAACGTTTAATTGTGTTTACAAAAAAAGGTTTAGTCATCTTTCCATAATGTTAGTCTCAGCGTACCAGTAATTGCACTCATTTATTTATTATGTTGTATCGGTATTTATAGAAACAAAATATGTATGACTGCCTCGTTGGCCGAGTGGTTGCAAGTGCGACTGCCGGTCATGGGGTCTCGGGTTCGATTCCCGGGTCGGGCGATGTACTACTGGGTTTTTATAAATTCTCAGTAGTAGCACGGAGTCTGGAATTGTGCGCGGTATATGGCAATAGGCTCACCCCCTTTTACATGGGACTCATAACATAAATAGTGAAAAGTGGGTGTGTTACATTGTACAGTGGTATAATGTGCACCTCTGCCTACCCCTTCGGGGATAAAAGGCTTGATGTTATGTTAAATATGTACCTCAGTCATTTTAGAACTGTACAAGATATTTGAAATCCGCTAAACCCAGCTGTCAAACTGAAATTTCTAACTCAGAAGTCGTATTTATAACAACCATCGTCTACCAAAAAGATAATTTAACCCAGTCAGACAATAACTATCCCCTCTTTCACAGGTTAATGCCAGCAGTACTAGTGGTAATGGGTCTAGCAATGACATGGGTGCCGCATATGGGGTCTGGACCGATGTGGGATGCTGTGGTGAAGAGAGAAAGAGATATGTGTCGAATGAACTGGTGGCAACTAGTCATCTTGAGCCCTAATCTGTTCCCGTTTGAGCACCTCTGCTTACCTCAGGCTTGGTAAGTTGGTTTTTATTTGTAAGGGTATATAGGGATTTGGAGGTTTTATTTTTTTTATATTTAATGGGCCGACGCCGACGTTTGACCACTATCCCGCTTAGTCGTCAGCGATGATGCGGTCTACGATGGAGCACATCGTCCCGTAAGCAACACATTCACTCGGAACTTGAAGACACCCAGGTTCTTGGTGACAGATGGAAAGTTTTGAGTGTGTTAGGAAGACAAGTAGCTATGTTTTTAATTCCTCCTTTTTAAGAGGAAATTTGTCATAATCACCACATTTGGCATGCAGTTAAGTTAAAGGTGTCTACTACACATTCCTTCGTGTGTGGTTACCATTTTAGAATGTATCCTATCCAAGTCCTGATTTTACTTCTCAACTACTGATATCATAATTATGAACAAAATCTTATACTATTAAATAAAGCGGAAGAGTTTGTTTTTTTGTTTGTTTGTTTGAACGCGCTAATCTCTGTAACTACAAGTCTGATTTGAATAATTATTTTTGTGTTAGATACCACATTTATCGAGAATGGCTATAGGCTATAAAACATTACGCTACGACCAATATAAGCTGAGCAGAGCGTGTGAAACCGCGTGGAAGTAGCTAGTAAAACATAAACGTCATACACAAAAAAATCAATTGTTTCTTAAACGATTCCAGTTCATTAACATAACATTTTCAAATTACGTAACAGGGTTTCGAGATTTTATGTCGACATTTCCTACGTATTAAAAACAAAAAAAAAATATGTAAATAAGACACAATGAACATGTCCTAAACGCATTTATAATATGCAAAGGGTCCAAGGACGTAAAAAGTATAGGAAAAAATACATAAACTTATTTAACTAGTTGCCTCGTTGGCCGAGTGGTTGCAAGTGCGACTGCCGGGCAAGGGGTCTCGGGTTCGATTCCCGGATCGGGTCAAGTATTACTAGGTTTTTAAAAATCTCAGTAGTAGCACGGAGTCTGGAAATGTGCCCGGTATATGGTAATAGGATCACCTCCTATAACATGGGAGTCATAACATAAATAGTGAAAAGTGGGTGTTACATTATATAGCGGCATTAAGTGCCGTAATGCGTACCTCTGCCTGACGTGATGTTATGCTATGTTGTCACACGATATTTCAAATTAATATCGTCGGACGTATTTAATTTTGTGAGGAAATTAAAAATACGTATACGTATTTTTACTTTATTAAACTTTTTTAAACTTTAGACACGTGTCTAAAGTTTTAAAATAAACTACCAGACAGACATTAAAATAAAATTTAAGAAACCATCCCATTATGTTAATTTAATTTTAACAAATTAAGCAACTTTTAACACACGTAAATTATTTTTAATAAACATAACACATGTTATCTTAATAAACAACAACAATAATGAAAAAAAAAAACAAAATTAACTAAAGCGGTCAATGACCTTAAAAAAACTAATTATAAAAACAATGAACTCGAAAGGAAAAGGAAACTATTTATGTTAATCAGAGACGCGTAAACACTCAAACTGAATGTGGCAATCTATTCGAGAATGTCCGTGAAATTTTAATATCAGTTTGTTGCAATTACTTTGAACAACATGCATTAAATTACTAAATTAACAATCGATTTCAATTTATTAAGATCGAGTTTTGACATTGATCTCTAATTTTGATGAAAACTTCATACAACTATGAAGATTCTATCATAAACGGAGATCAATCCAGAGATTTTAGAGTAAGAATTGGGCCTGTAGTAAACATTTTAATCTTATTACACTATGCAGTGACGGAAGAGTTAGAAGTATTTGTCATCAACCCGACTTTTTCTGAGGTTGTCACAAGACCCTCTTTTTTATTGGTTAATGAACAGACGGATCACCTTCGGCGGCACCCATGGACACCTGAAGCGCCAGAGGCATTACAAATGCGTTACTGGCCTTTTGGGGATTAGGAATTTGAGGATTGTTGTGAATTCAGGGATTGGGGAGGTTGGGGATATGGAGGGATAACGCACGGTAACGCACTTGTAACGCTTTGGTATTTCGGGTGCTCATGGGCGGTACCGATTGCTTATCATCAGCTGATACGTTTGCTTGTTTACCAGCTTATGCTATACAAAAAAAATCATTTTAAACTGCGATATTCTACCTGCTAGCCAGGCGTAGACATTATAACATAGCCTTTTTCTACAGAGGGTGAAAAGACCGTTGATGTTAATTAGAGACGCGTAAAAGAATGTGGCAATTCATTCGAGAATGTCCGTGAAATACTCACATTAGTTTTGTTACAATTACGGTAAACAGTGTGGTTTAATCACCTTGAAATTTTAATGTACTATGAATCCGTAGTAATAAAAACCACGTGATAATGGCAAAGGCATAGAATACACATTATTTTGTTACCACCACTTGCTCCATCTAGGGTAGAAGGAGTAGCTACGGATGGTCTAACGGGATGCTAAAGGTTACGGCTAAAAGCAGGAGTAGGAATGGGGTGGTTTTCAGTCAGTAAGAGTCCGACACTCTCTCTCGCCTTATTCAAAGTGGGAGTAGACCTTTGATGATTTTCTCTACTCACAAAGGGTAAGAGAAGTAATTTGATTATTTCCATCCTAACGAAAAACATGCAAGATAGGTATCAATCGATATTTTCATAATTAGTCATCATTCTATTAGTTCTACTATCTCATTACAAATGTCTAATGATGCAATGAGTAAAGAAAAAAAGATAAACAGTCAAAAAACACAGAATATAAGTGTGGGAGAGCCATGCTAAGTGTGGGAGATCCATGGTTCGGCACGAATGGGCCGGCTCGACCGGAGTGATACCACGGCTCCACAGAAAACCGACGTGAAGCAACGCTTGCGTTGTGTTTCGTCGTGTGAGTGACGTTATCGGAGGTCCAATTACCCTCCCATCCCCAATCTCCCTAATTCCTGAATCCCAACGATCCTCAAACTCCTAATCCCCAAAAGGCCGGTAACGCACTTGTAACGCCTCTGGTGTTCCAGCTGTCCATGAGTGACGCCGATTGTTTACCAGGTGATCCGTCAGCTCGTTTATCGGCTTATCCCATAATAGAAGAATAAAAACAATGAAACTGTCATCTGTTTTTGCATTCTGCGTAAACAATCTTACGCAAAACTTAGATTTATCTAACCATAGATTACAGCCAAGATTTTTTACCTTAAATCTACTTTTTTCTATTGCAAACATAGTGAAACAAGGCTAATCTACTTTCCATCGATATAACCTTGAGCACATTGCATCAAAACCCAGTTTTTCACGCGAAATTACGGCAACAAAACAAATATTATAAGATCACACATATTTATGTAAATATGCACTTAAAATGAGTTTTATTGTGTAAGTGACAGAGTTTATTTTTAAAAGCGTTGCGTAAAGGGCCTACCTCGTAATTACAGTTGGCTAAAAGACTATCTTAATCTGGTTCGTGCTTGTTGACTGTAGAGTAATAAAAAAATCTCCTTGACACGAATGACAATCATACTTTGACAAATTAGAATTTAGTCTTTTGTTTTTTAAGACATTGAGCTGTTAATGCATTTGCCAAAATGCAATTTATTTTGATATTCGTTATCTCCTAAATTCGGTACTTCCTTTCCTTAGTCGGATTTAGTTTTTTTTTATGGCGTAAGCCGGTAAACGAGCACACGGATCACCTGATGGTAAGCAATCGGCGTCGCCCATGAACACCTGGAATACCAGAGCCGTTACAAATGCGTTACCGGCTTTTTGGGGATTAGGAGTTTGAGGATCGTTGGGTATTCAGGGATTGGGGAGATTGGGGAAGGGGAAGGTAATTGGGCCTCCGGTAACCTCACTCACACGAAGAAACACAACGCAAGCGTTGCTTCACGTCGGTTTTCTGTGAGGCCGTGGTATCACTCCGGTCGAGCCGGCCCATTCGTGCCGAAGCATGGCTCTCCCACACTTGTTGAATCAGTAACTGCCATCCAATATTGAGCCCTATAGTAATGTAATAATAGAATACATTATTTATCACCGATAGCTTTCACGTTTAACAAGAATCGAGCAGCAATATTCTCTGATAAACTTGAACCGTTTATTCTGCGTTTCCCAACATACCTACCAGCCGTAAAAATTATGTGATTAAACACTCTTATATAGATCATTTTAAAGTTCATATTCCAGCAATTGGCTACCAAGTATAAAGTTCTTATAAGTATCGTATTCTTTATAAGTATAAAGTTATCGAAATGCGTGGCATTCACTAAAATTCTAACCTTTAGTGATAAGTCAATAAATCGCTGTCCAATTGAGTAGTTTCCTGTGTCAAAAATAAATTGTTTTGATTTTTCAGTCCAATTAAATATTGAAAAATCGTTACACTTTCATTCATTGATTTGCCGATATACTTAATTTTTGATTTATTCTAGCATTTTCTTTAGATACAAGTGTGCTATTTGACGTGAAAATATGATGACGTCATAAGCTAGTATTTCGTACAAAATTCATAGAACAGTATCGTTTTTGACGTTTCGATAAAAGTATTGAATTTGACTAGTTGTCAACTACCGTATTGTTTGACCTTCTAATTGGACTAAAATACCGTATTTTAGGTTCGTACATTTATTACACTAGCTTCTGCCCGCGACTTCGTACGCGTAATCCCATTTTTTCTCGTCCCCGTTCGTGATTTTCGGTAAAAAGTAAAAAAAAATTGGATCCTATGTCGGTCTCCAGGCTCTAAGCTACCTCTCTACCAATTTTCAGCCAAATCTATTTTGCCGTTCTTGAGTTATAAGTGGTGTAACTAACACGACTTTCTTTTATATATATGGATTTTACTGCTTAATCATCATCATCATCAATAACTGGAAGCCGTCCAACGCAGAACAAAAGCCACCTCCTTAGTCCTCCACGTTGAACGACAACTCGTCACCTGCTTAATACCTTTTTTCAATTTTAAATCTCCCTTCTTTCCAGGTACCTCGGTACAGACACCCAGCTCTTCCTGATAACCCTGGTAGTCCTGCTCATCATCTGGAGATGGCCTAGAAGTGGAGTACCAGTTCTCTCTGCGGTTATGGTCATAAGCTTGCTGATACCTTTCCTGCAGAGCTACTTTATGAACTTACTACCTATTAGAGTCAGCATATTCCCCGAGTAAGTGTTTTGTATTGTAACGTTTATTTTTAATTTCTTTTTATATATTTGATGGGGCGACGTTTGACCACTATCTCGCCTGGTAGTAAGCGATGATGCGGTCTACGATGGAGCACGTCGTCCCATAAGCAACCTATTCACGCGGGCCTTGAAGACTCCCAGGTTATACCCTTCAGGAAATACAGACTCTGGCAAAGAATTCAAGAATTAGATTTGGCAGACGTATTTGTATTTTTTAATAAATCACCATCATCAACAGCCTATAAATGCTCACTGCTAAACAAAGCTCTCACACGGAGAAGGTTTGACCATTACCTCGCTTGCTCGATGCGGGTTGGCGATTTCAAACTTATAAACAGAAATGATAGGTCCAGATTTACTCACAATGTTTGCCTTCACCGTTTGATAGTGGTGTTTAAATAATCTTAGAAAGTACATATGACTCGGAAAAAGTCACATCGGTACTTGCTATTGGTAAGTTTCGACCCCTCACCATCACGACCACAACAACAATAAATGGCTTATCTTGGAAAATTCAACATGCAAACTTGATTTTTAATAAAGTCCAGAGTTTTAATTATTCCATCTTTTCCTAGAAACGGTAGACTTACTTATAATTTCGTACATTACTTTAAACAATTTCATTATTAGTTCTTTGCAATACTGGCCTAAATAAAACGAAACGATTATAATATATTTTTTTACTCATGCGAATATATTTTACTTGGCTTTTGAAAAAACAGTCCCATATAAATTACAAGCATAACAAAAAAAGTTTTAGTTCTACAATCAATTTAAATACAAACTCCTCTAAAATACACAGTAAAAACGATTGTACATACACGCACACACTTAAAAATTCACGAACAAACTCGAAAGTACTTGAATCTCTGCTGATCCCATAATAGAAATCGTGACTAACATAACTTTTGCACGTGACTTCGTATGCCAACCAAAAATTTTTCACATAACTTCAACCTGAAAAGTAGAATCAAAAACGGCTTATCCACCATCGCAATTGCTATCCCATTTCCATCTCTATCTCAAACAGCATAAAACACATAATTCCTTGCCACATTCACCTGCCTACGTAAATTCCCACATAGTGTTATGTAATTTGTAACTCTATTTACAGATCAATAAGGGATATATTCGGATACAACGACACGTTCTACCATGCGTATGTGTCAGCGCAAGGTAACTGGGCTGGTTATCATCTTGGAGTATTGACTGCTTACTTCTATCATAAGGCCCAGCAGAAGAAATGGGATCTTAGAGGGTCTATGGTAAATATTATTTGTTTTGTTTTTATAATAACTATCGTGAGACATATTAAATTAACTACAAATCGCGGGTCCTTCACGTGAATATATTGAGAAAATCTCTACTAGTTTCGACCCACAGAGGGGTTCTTTCTCATGAGCAGCGTGGGCGGTCGCGCACGGCCCGCGATTTTTAGTTAATTTATTGTTTGTTTATTAAAAGAGAAGAGAAGTGGTGTTTTAATTTTTAGAAATTTGAGATCGATTTTACCCCCAAACCATCTTTTAACTAAGACTAACTTAGCATGAGGGAACACTTTTTTTTAATGGGGGTAATGGACATGAACTGCCTCCGCCTCGGGAAAGGCGGAGGGGCATGCCGGACTCTTACCGGCTAAAACCACCCCAGTGTCTCCACGCACGTGCGCTGGGAGCACCCGCGGGGCCGCGGGAGTCCAATTTCATCTGCAGCCCCGCATTACAGTGCCAGCCCGTCCATCCGGGCCTCGTCTCCTGCACCGTAATAATGTGTAGCCACGTGCACCGCCTCAAAGACGCGCGCCGACACCCGCGCGCGCCTTCGACTCGGGTCTATCGAATCGGGGGCGAGGACTTCCCCAAGTCCTTAACCCATGGGTCCAGCCCATGTGAGGGAACACCTTAGTTAACCCCTTACTTGTACTGTTAGATGTCAGTTAAAAGTTGTTTTTTTAATGGCATAAGCCTGTAAACGAGCAGACGAATCACTTGATGGTAAGCAATGGGCGCCGCTCATGGACATCTGAAACACCAACGTGTTACCGACCTTTCGGAAATTGGGAATTTGAAGATTGTGGAGGGTTAGATTAGGTAGACTAGGGAGGGGGTTAACTGGGCCTCCGGTTGTTAAAAACCGACGTAAGTTAAGTGTCACCTATCTCAATTACGACTCTACTCAAACTAATTTAAAAACCATTTTCTATTGCAGCTCATGAAACTCCTCTTCCTGGCTTCAATTCCCGTCGCAGGTGGAGCTGTCCTTATGGGTTGGGATCTCCACCATCGTGAGGCATCAGCCTTCGAGGCCGCTGTGTTCAATGCTTTGAATCAGAACTTCTTCGCTCTGGCCATCTGCGTGTTCATTATCGGATACTTTTATAAGCTGAACAGTAAGTTTTGCAGGCATTTCTGTGTTAATCATAATATATTAAAGATAAAGAACACATAACATAAAATCACGCCTTTTTACCCCCGAAGGGGTAGGCAGAGGTGCACATTTCGGCACTTAATGCCACTGTACAATGTAACACCCACTTTTCACTATTTATGTTATGAGTCCCATGTATAGGGGGTGAGCCTATTGCCATATACCGGGCATATTTCCAGACTCCGTGCTACTATTGAGATTTTTAAAAACCCAGTAATATATTGCCCGACGCCCCCATGGTAGACAGGCGTGAAGTTATGTATTATGTACAAACAGACATTCCAATTTTATTTATCTGTATGTATAGATGTATAGATAGTGAAATAAGCAGTACAACTTGAACAAAATGGCAAAAATTGGATGATATTAAGAAATATTCGGTGCTAGTAATTGGTGTTCCCTAGTCTCTGCCTACCCTCATGGTAGACAGGCGTGAAGTTATGTATGTATGTATGTATGTATGTATTCGGTGCTTTCAATTCATTTTACTATAGAAAAAAATATACTTAGTTACCTATCATTATAACCTTTGTATCTTCTTCAGGAATCTACGTAGGCTCCGTAGAATGGGGACCTCTACAGCCACTAGGCAGAATGTCCTACTGCGCCATGTTGCTTCACGCCACGGTGCTGAGGACCTATGGAGGTCAGATGAGGAGGTCTTTCTATGCTACTGATTATACTGCTGTAAGTATCGAAATGATATAACAGAAAGAGATACAGTTAATTCGCACCAAAAAAATTAAAACAAGAACAATAGTTAAAACAATTATTTATTTATTTAACAATAAAATATGGTGAAAGTGTGAACGGCGCAGCGCAAAAAGGCAAAGTGTTCAGATAAAATGCCGTGACTCCAGAGCGATAACACTAGTCGCACCTGTGACTCCTCTGGTGTTGCGGGTGTCACCTGATGATAAGCAATCGGCGCCGCCCATGGACTTCTGGAACACCAGAAGCGGTACAAGTGCGTTACCGGCCTTTTGGGGATTAGGAGTTTGAGGATTGTTAAAGATTGAGGGATTGGGTTGATTGGGTAAGGGGGGTATCCTCACTCACACGACGAAACACAACGCAAGCGTTGTTTCACGTCGGTTCTCTGTGAGGCCGTTGTATCACTCCGGTCGAGCCAGCCCATTCGTGCCGAAGCTTGGCTCTCCTACACTTAAAACTGTATTCTCCAACCAGCTTGTTAAGTATGGAGATTCAAGCAGATCTCTAATATGTAGAAATAGCTCATAGTCTAGCAGATGCAGCAGATGATGATCATGATGATGAAAGATTACATTCTTCTATTCTAACATCACGCCTTTTATCCCCGAAGGGGTAGGCAGAGGTGCACACAGAAGTAACACCCACTTTTCACTATTTATGTTATGAGTCTCTTGTAATTGGGGGTGAGCCCATTGCCATATACCAGGCACAATTCCAGACTCCGTGCTACTACTGAGAATTTTAAAAAAAACCAGTAAAACTTTGCCCGACCCGGGATTCGAACCCAAAACCCCTTACCGAGCAGTCGCACTTGCGACCACTCGGCCAACGAGGCAGTCGAAATTGATGAAAGATTATATTCTCTATTCTATTGTAATTATTATTTTCCAGATAATGTTATACGCCGGTATAGTAACAACGACTTATCTCTTCGCTCTTCCTCTCTATCTCTTCGTGGAAGCTCCAGCCTGTCAGCTACAGAAACTCCTCCTTGGTCCAAAAAGAAAACCTGAAAGAAAAGAGATGGAAGATTCTAACGCCAATCATGTCAAACCTGGAATTTCAAACGTATCTGTCAACACTGTATCTACACATATCTAAATTTTAGAAAATTTATAGCAACCTGTATATATTTTAAATCTTGCAATAGATTTTGAACTTTATACTCAGTGTAGTAAGACTCGTAATGGTATGATGTTCTATTTGGAAAATGTGTAACACTGTAATAATAATTTAATCATGCATTCGACTCTGTACTCTATAATGATTACGTTAAAAAAGAAAACTGTGCAACGTTTCTATTTTAAAATACTCACTATAGAATCAATTTTTCTCACTAACATCTGTCTAAAAAAATATGCACTCGAATTTATATTTTAAGTACAGACCCATAAAGAACACATTTCTTAATGAAACAGCTGTTCGTATTAATCCGTAGGCTATCAAATGCAATAAATATTTTAATTACTTTTACAATTTTCCAATGTAATCTGAATCGTCGAATAATCCGGTCTGAAACTTTAATCCTCGAATATTTTTTTAAACACTACGCGAATGTTATCAGTTAATATTTTTATCGATATAAAATCAATTTTAAATAATTAATTTGGTGTAGTTTCTCTTCATTATTAAAATTATTTTATTAATCCTTTAATTGATTTTGAACATTATGTTCAGTGGAAATAACTTTGAAAATAGCACAATAAAATTATATTTATTTTAAATATTAATTTGGGAGTCTACAGCTATCTTCTTTTATAACGTGACGTCATTTATACATATCATTTTTGTTTATCGAATTTAAAATGGTTTTAGCCATTTAGCGTCTAAATCTAATAGCTTTAAAGTTCATTTTAAGTAATTTTGTTGATTGATGGCTTCATAAGGCCACAGTTTGGCCCAGATGGCCTTAAGTATTATGATGGACGCGACATTTGGTCCATCAGTATTGTACATAGTATATGTTGGTATAATCAAACTAGGGGATGCAGTGTTTAAGGTAAAATAAGACTTTGTACATAGTTTTTAAGGTTTAGTTTTCTGTGCTAGCAATTTACTGTATATTTTTGTAATAAAGATTTTTATATGATTTTCTTTTTATTATTCTTTAAATAAAAATTAAGAAAAATATTTCTGAAAGTGAAAGATTCTGAGGAATAAGTTCTGAAACCTAAAAGAAGATAAGACTTATTAGCAATTTTTTTAGCAAATTAGCAAATTTGACTGCCTCGTTGGCCGAGTGGTTGCAAGTGCGACTGCCGAGCAAAGGGTCTCGGGTTCGATTCCCAGTCGGGCAAAGTATTACTGGGTTTAAAAAAATTCTCAGTAGTAGCACGGAGTCTAGAATTGTGCCCGGTATATGGCAATAGGCTCACCCCCTAATATATGGGACTCATAACATTAATAGTGAAAAGTGGGTGTTATTTCTGTGTGCACCTCTGCCTATCCCTTCGGGGATAAAAGGCATGATGTTATTACTAACAGGTCGGGTCAATATATAGCCTACATTTTATCACCCTATCATCTACGGGGGAGGAGCTGTGAATCACAATTCCACACAAACGAAGTCGCGGGCAACAGCTAGTCATAATATTTCGACTTTTTTTTCAAAATCCAAATAGTATAAGTAGTTTTCATTGGCTTCCGATAGCGATGAGGAAAATTTTATTGGTGTCTTGAGGTAACATTTTTTTTTAAGGTATAAATATTTTAGTTTGCATCCCATATCCCAGAGCTGCATATACATAAAGGATCAGTAAGCTGAAGTGGCAGTGTGCCGGTCACATTTGTCGAAGAACCGATAACCATTGGAGTAAACATGTTCTAGAGTGGAGACCGCGTCTAGATAAACGCAGTGTAGGGCGCCCTCCAGCTAGGTGGAGGGACGACATCTGCAAGGTGGCTGGCAGTGGTTGGATGAGAAGAGCTGAAGACCGAGCTCAGTGGCGTGCCATAGGAGAGGCCTATGTCTAGCAGTGGACGAATACTGGCTGATGATTATTGATACATACACAGTGTCTAATCACCATCTAAACCTTCACATGCATGGTATAAACGTCATGACATCAAACAATCAAGTTATTTCGGTAACAATACGTTGTGCGGTCAACACAGACTCCGTCCATTATTTATAACACATCCTGAATACGAAACCGCATTTTTTATTGTTCTGAACTCCTGGTACTGTTGTTGTGTTAGATATGTCTTTATCATAACATAACATAACGTCTTTTATCTCCGAAGAGGTACACAGAGGTGCACATTACGGCATTTAATACCACTGTACAATGTAACACCCACTTTCACTATTTATGCTATGACTCCCATGTAATAAGGGTTAGCACCCTTATTTCAAAATTTATTACTGAGAATATTAAAAAAGACTACAATCTTCAATTACTTCTTTCTTTTTCTTCTTTTTTTTATAAAAATGTTGCCCCACATTAGGATTTTCTCCTGTGTCGTGGGTGCGTTTACAAACATGCAAGTTCACACACACAATGACACCCAGACCCGAAACAACAATTTGTGGATCACACAAATTGTTCTTCCGTGCGAGAATCGGACCGCGACACGTTGCACGGCAGCCGGTTGCCCAGCCACCGCACTAACCGTGCAGCCTTCTCTCTAAAACTTAGTTGCGTTCAAGAACGCTGAAAAAAAGGCGGACATAATGCAGTTTAGAAATGATTGGAGCACCAAGATGTCAATAGTTAAGGCCGTGCGCTGAGGCGTGTGCACGGATCAGCGCTGCATGCAGCGGGTCGCCCGCTGCACACGGGCGAACTGCGTAGCGCACGGCCTTATTTATTTGTACGTGTGTAATGAGTTACAAGGCTTATGAAAATGACAGATGTCTTTCGTATCAATGTGTTTAAGGTGCTCCCATCACCGGGAGCATTCACGTGTAATGCAACATTATAGATTCGACTTTGAGCATTACATTGCAATAATACATCCCTGACTAACGAGCATTTGTGTGTAATGTAATTGTCGGCGCATTAGTATGGCCATCGACCATAGAGGCGGCGACGCGCGGGACGGGGGTATAAAAACCGACGTCCGCGCGAGCGCCGCGCTTTTTTCTTCATCCACACACGCCAGCCATTTGGCATTCGGGCATTTCTTTGTATCGGTGCGAGCCGGTCTTGATTTTGATATGTAGTAATTAAACCTATTAATTGTGCAGTCTTCTGTTTTAATTTAAAATAACCCGACAGAGCTACGACAGTAATTTCATAGCAAGATGTAAGACATTGATGTTACAAGTTGTATCAAGATATTACACATTGTATCATTACTGTGCGGATTGTAATGCTCGGTTCTTCTCCTTCACTGATGTAATGCTCAGACCTGTAACGTTACATTACACGCGAATGCTCCCGGGGAGGGCGTTCTGCATGTAAGTCTATAGTAGCCAGGTGCCACAGTCGTTGTGTGAACGTTCCTGGTTGCGTTTTGGTGTAACTCCCGTAATCAAAAAAGGATTTATGATATTTATTTATGTGTATTCTAAATACCTGTATTGAATCACAAAACCATACAAGGAGTGTAGAGAAATTAATTAATCACATAATAGAAACGAACAGGTTGGGTCGTGAATGCCATCATATCGACTGCTGGATGACATACAGAACTGTGTCAGTACTTATCATGATTATGTAAATTGTTGTAAATAATAATATTGTCACACGAATAAGCTGGAACCAGATTATTTCTCCAATGAGAATCACCCAATCTCCCAGTTATTGTCCTATAGAGAGAGGCCTGTGCTCAGTAATTAACGTTTTGTGGCTGATTTGAGGAAGACGACTTCCAATGATATTAAAATCAGATATGAATGTACCTAAATATGGACAAAATAGTTCAATAGCCTAAATAACTTATTATCATATCAGTCATATAAATATGACTTGGGTGTCTTCAAGTCCCGAGTGAACAGATTGCTCATAGGTGGTCCATCGTCGGCTATATCATCGCTTACCATCAGGCGAGATGGTGATCAAGAGAAGGACTGAATATTTCCTTAAATAGGGCATGGCTTTCTTTTTTCATCTTAGTCCTTTCTATCAGCGTACCACAAGACAATCGGCAAAGCGTCACCGATTCATGGTAGATATCCCACCCATACGCACGAAGCGCTTCGCATCTGGCTTCCTTGTACGTACTGCTAAGGAGTGGAATTCTTTGCCATAGTCTGTGTTTCCTGAAGAGTGTAACTTGGGTGTCTTCAAGGCCCGAGTGAATAGGTTGCTTATGAATAAACGTGCTCCATCATAGGCCGTATCATCGCTTACCAACAGGAATGATATCTAGTGGCCAAAGCTATATAAAAGAAAATGGCGAGCGTCCTTTGAATTGTTGCTTATTCTATGATTCCAACGCCATCTTCTAAGTATGAAGATTTTGGAATTCCCCTTCATAAGAGAGAGACCTTTGATCAGCAGCAGACGTGGTGTAGCTTAGGTCATTTACAAACTTAAACAACATCATTTTAACAAACAACATAACATAACATCAAGCCTTTTATCCTCGAAGGGGTAGGCAGCGGTGCACATTATGCCACTGTACAATGTAACACCGACTTTTCACTATTAATGTTTTGAGTCCCATGTAATAGGGGGTGAGCCCATTGCCATATACCGGGCACAATTCCAGACTCCGTGCTACTACTGAGATTTTTTTAAAAACCTAATAATACTTTGAACCGGGAATCGAACCCGAGACCCCTTGCCTGGCAGTCGCACTTGCGACCACTCGGCCAACGAAGCAGGTTATCAAACAAAACTCCTAAAAAGTAAAAAATCTTCAAAAAGGATTTTATCTACAGCGAAGCAGTGTCAAACATGCATGTACGTATGAAATACCGAATTAATCTTGGTACCAACCCTGTTTACATTTCTCGACTTTACTCAATCGACACCTCCACTCAATTACAAACCCTCTTCCTACACCATAAAGGTTGGATTTCCATTGCAATCTAAACGGTAAGCTGAACACTGCATATCGATTATCGACACACCGATTAAGGATGTCACTTGCATGGATTTGCCTAATTCATAGTGCATGTGTCGGCGCGTCAGCCTGTGACACTGTGTGTGATATGGGATCGCGTTTACACCGTACTGATATTTGAGAAGACAGAAAATTACCCTTTGGTAAATTCATAAAAAAATGTGTCTAATGTTTTTAAATAATCTACGAGACGGACATTAAAATAAAAATAGTCATCTAAACACCTCGCCACCTCACGACAAGACTTCGACTGCACGGGTGGCGCGGGCAACTGGCTGCCGTACAACGTGTCCTGGTTCGATACTTGATTATCCACAATTGTTGTTCCGGGTCTGGGTGTCATATGTCTGTAAACTTGAATGTTTGTAAACGCACCCACGATACAGGAGAAAATATAAGTGTGGGGCATATGAAATGGTTGGTGCAGCACTATCCCCCTGGCTTACACAGGAATAAGTAAAGTAAATTAGCAATAAGTGTATAATTATAATTAAATGTAGTTAGTTAAGTTAGATTAGGGTATGATGAGGCTGACATACCTTTGTAAGGGAAAAGCCTCTAAATAAATAAAGATAAAAAAAGCGTGGTGCAACGTTAAAAAAGGAGAATTACACTTCGGTGTAACAGTCAGCTTCTATAACCCCAGTACATAGGATGGTAACAATCAATCGATCACAGACTATGGCAGTATATTATCAGGCGTATCCCAGACCTGGTATATGGGCTACAAGCTACGAGCTACTGACTACAACCTATAGGCTACAGCCTTAGTGATTGAGTTATCAATTCTCAACTATGTTGCTTAAGTGGGTCGTATGTTAAATAGAACTTATAATGATTGGAAGCGCACAATGTAGGACAGGATTGATTTAAACAACTTCACTTGGTAAGTGTAACAATTTATTTTGTTCTAACATAATATACCATAACATCACACCATTTATCTCCGAAGGGGTAGGCAGAGGTGCCGCGGAGAATCTAACGGGTTACCGGAGCTCCGGCTCGAAGTGCAGGAGAAGGAACGGGGTGGTTTTTAGTCAATAAGAGTCTGACACTCCCTCCCGCCTCACCCAGGCGGGAGCAGTCATTAGATGATTTTTCCCCAATTTACTATTTATGGGGTTAGCCTAATGTCATATACCGGGCACAATTCCAGACTCTGTGCTACTAGTGGGATTTTTTTAAGCCCGGTACTTCATACTCTGCCTGATCCGGGAATCGTAGTCGTCAGTAGTCGCCAGTGCGACTACCAGGCAAGGGGTCTTGGGTTCAATTCCCGGGCCAGGCAAAGTATTACTGGCCTTTAAAAAATAGTCAGTAGTAGCACGGAGTCTGGAAATGTGTCCGGTGTATGGTAATAGGCTCACCCCCTATTACATGACACTCAGAATATAAATAGTGAAAAGTGGGTGTTACCTCTGTGTGCACCTCTGTCTACTCCTTCGGGGATAAAAGGCGTGATGTCATGTTATGTTATGTTATAAAAGAAATATAAGAAATATGTTGACCCTATAGTATTTACTTAGCTGTAAATCACGTTTGCCTTATACAGACCTCTATTATATAACTCAAACCTATATTTCCTTGATCTAATAAAACACCAAGATTAATTATCGAATCTTAAAATTGTTTAACATTTTTATTATTAAGAACACAACCAAAACACAGCAACAAAAATAAAAATAATACATATAAAATCTAATACTTCATAAGACGATGCACTTCACGTTAATTCCATCTCCTTCCAACCAACCAAGAGAGAAAAGGACAAACAACAAACTTGGTGAATCAACAAGGAAAACCTGATGAGAGCATTGAAGTTTCCAATGAACTTGGACGTGCAGTAGTCTTGTAAAGTAAAGAGTTTTATTAATATGAAGATTTAGTAAAAAGTGATGAAGACATTACTTTAATAGATACAGTGTAAGATTTGGTAGATGGTGATTGTAAATTGAGACTGAATGGTTGGAATATAGACGCTAAAGATATTAATGGTAAGTTTGTTTTTTATTTGTTCGTCCTGTTTCATTCTTTTTCTTAAAAATGCAGTGAATCGTGTTGTGCCTAATCAGGTTTTTCAAAGTAAAAGCCTTTATTTGCATTATGAGTTTGTCTTTCGTTATTGGCTTTCAATTCAAAAAGATGATCAAAACATAATTATTGTTTACGAAAAAACATTGTACCTAATTAGCAACAATTGGTTTACCAAATGTTTTATTATCTCGAGATAGATACATAATAATATATACATACTTACATACATAACTTCACGCCTGTTTCCCATGGGGGTAGGCAGAGACTATGGAACGCTGACTACTACGATCCCTACATACCTCTTTCGCTGTATCAACAGTCATCAAACTGATAATGCGAGAATGATATTCAACTTTATGGCTCTGATTCATTGATCTCTAGTTGATTTATACATTTATTAGGTTACGATGGGACTGACATACGCTGTGCGGTATAAAAGTCCCTAAAATTAAAAAGAAATTAAAAAAACAGTCATCAATCTGTTCATGCATGATAATGTAATATGTTTTATCTTTATCACATATTTTTATTTTTGGCATAGGTTCTTCGTTAATTCTAAATTGACGTAATATACTACATTTTTTACTAGCTAGTCTGCTAGTTGACCTATGACTAATATAGAGACGAGAGCTCTTTGTTATACCTATTAGGTACTTCGGGGAACCCCAATTTACAACTCCAATCATTATATTTGGCTGGCTGCCTGCCTGACTGTCTCGTTGGTGTGTGAGTGGGAGTGAGTGGTCGCAAATGCGACTGCTGGGCAAGGAGTCTATGGTTCGATTCCTGGGTCGGGGATATGATACTGGGTTATTAAAAAAAATTCAGTAGTAGCACGGAGTCTGGAATTGTGCCCGGTATATGGCAATAGGCTCACGTCTCACCACTTATTAAATTGATCGAAACTTTTCAATATTTCATTTTTGAATCGATTACAAAAATGAAATAGTGAAAAGTTATTAAGTGCCATAATGTACACCTCTGCCTCTTCGGGGTTAAAGGCGTGATGTAATGATGATGTTGATGATGACCATTTTATTTCCAGCACTTCACCACACATCGCTAAGTCATCACCGTTCAAAATGTTCTGGTTACTTCTATTCCTGAGTATGCCTAATAAATCAATCCAAGTAGGTCTAGTAGGCAACCCTTTAGCTCACGCTTATCCTTGTGAAGATAATCACAACATAACAGCCACTTTTGAATCCGGTCTACCACCAGGTGAAGAGAATCAGTACTATTTGAATATTAAAGGGACAATACAAAAGTATTCGCAAATCAATTTGAAGTTTGATTCAGATGCTACTGTTGTTTTGGTAAGTGGAATAGGGTCGTTCCCTAAATTTTATTTTAATGTCCGTCTAGTACATTAATTTAAAACTTTAGACACGTATTTTTTCTTTTGTCACAAAATTAAATACTTTCGACGATATATTAATTTGAAATATCGTGTGATGTCACAGCGTGCTACATTTTATAGCACAATGACGTAACGACCTCCCACTCCTAAGCTTACCGCCATTTTATCTGAGTATTGCAACGTAATACGAGAAAATAAAAAAATACGTGTCTAATATTTTTTCATTATCTAACTGACGAACTAATTAAATTTTTAATTTTGATACCCTGGAAACTACCCAATTGTAAATTAAGTAAAACCGCGGGTTACTCACGTGAACCACAGAGCGCTACGTCGCCGCGACCGCGCACACAGCTCACGAGGAAGAACCCCTCTGTGATCCGAAACTAGTAGAGCTTTTCTCAGTATATTCACGTGAGTAAGCCGCGATTTTACTTAATTTAGTATGTGTCACGATAGTTATTATAAAAACATACCCAATTGTAGTTGGTAAGATTATATTTTTATAACTATGTTAGCTACAGATGTGACTTTAAAAGTAACTGTCGATTATGATGATGATATTTCTAGTCTAATAATACCTAAGTAAATTCTATTGACGGAGCCGCGAACAACTTTACCGGTTACTGGGGCTTCGGTTCGAAACAGGATGGGTCATTGAATGATTTTCTCTCTAAGACAGATCACCTGATGGTAAGCAATCGTAGTCGCCCATGAACACCTAGAACACCAAAGGCGATACAAGTGCGTTACCGGCCTTTTGGGGATTAGGAATTTGACTATTGTTGGGAATTCAAGGATTGGGGAGATTGGAGAATGGGGCCTCCGGTAACCTCACTCACACGACGAAATACAACGCAAGCGTTGCTTCACGTCAGTTTTTTGTGAGGCCGTGTTATCACCCCGGTCGAGTCAGCCTATTCGTGCCGAAGCATGGCCCTTCCACATTTAATGCCATATACACCATGCCGAAGCTTATTTTTTTTTAAGTTTTCGGTCTACTCATAAAGAATAATTTTTCTTGACCTGTTTCAGTCAGATCCAATGAAAGCTCGAATAACTGCGTACACCAATTCGAACTCATTCAATGTGAGATTCTTCAAAGGATCTCCTAATCTAAACATTAACGTCAGAGGACCAGCCACAGGCACTATACCGTACGTCCAAAGCATTATACTGGACAATGATGAAATTTGTAACAAGCCCTCATCTGTAAGTACTTTTATATTTGACGATAGTTCTAATCTTCTTGAAATACCTGACGCCCGAATACTAAAAGGCTTTTTTCAAGTCGTACTTAAAAATTGTGCCATCTCTGTCATTTTACATAGAATTTGTAGAGACAGAACTATACTTTGAACACTTAGGTGTGAATTTCTTCAATTTTCCACAGAGCAATGAGATTTTTCTTACTACGAGTATTAACTTTCTTTCTATTTTTACACGTTAATCTTTGAAAAAATCGTCGTGGTCGTGGTGGCCCGGAGGTTTAAGACGCCCGCTTCTCATGCAGGAGGGTGCAGGTTCGAAACCCACCAACGACAAGTACCAATGTGACTTTTTCCGAGTTATATGTACTTTCTAAGATTATTAAGACACCACTGACAAACGGTGAAGGAAAACATCGTGAGGAAACCTGGGCTTATAATTTCCAATTGTAAGTTTGAAATCGCCAACTCGCATTGAGCAAGCGTGGTGATTAATGCTCAAACCAAATGCTCTCCGTGTGGAAGAGGCTTTGCTCAGCAGTGGGCATTATAGGCTGTTGATGAGATGTGTGAATCTTTGAAAGTAATGAACGCATTTCAATGGAACGTTTTTTGTTTTATATGTTATAAGCTTAAGGTGCTCGGATCATCGGGAGCATTCGCGTTACAGGTCTGAGCATTATATCAGTGATGGAGGAGAACCGAGCGTTACAATGCGCACCTTGTAATGATACAATATGTAATATCTTGATACAACTTGTAACATCAATGTCTGACATCTTGCTATGAAATGCTCAAAATCGAATCTATAAGTTACATTACACGCAAATGCTCGTTAGTCAGGGAGGTATTATTGTAATGTAATGCTCAAAGTCGAATCTATAATATTCCATTCCACGTGAATGCTCCCGGAGAGGAAGCACCTTTATGTAACATAATATTAGAGGGTATATTTGTTTTGGAAATGGAGACAAAAAAATTCTATCAAGTCTGTGAAATAATAATGAACCCTTTAAATTTCTTCGTCAAGAACAAAAATAAATGCTTCATCCACAATACTATCCTCTTTTCTTTCCAGGGTTATTTCGACTCACTTATCGAAGGCGTCAAAGATACAGCTGAGATCACCCTGACAGTACCAGCTGATGAATCTTGTGGAAGACGTAAGGTAGTCCATACAGAACTGATAGTCCACGGCCAGCCAACGAAGTCAGGAGACTGGCCTTGGCATGTGGCTTTGTTCACAGTTGAGGGGAATATTGTTAAGTACATTTGTGGAGGAACTTTACTGTCCAAGACTTTGGTTTTAACAGGTACTATAATGCTAATAACTTAACATTTTAATTAATAGTTATACACATTTCATGTCGCGGAGAACCTAACGGGTAACCGGGGCTCCGGCTCAACGTGCAGCAGAAGGAACGGGGTGGTTTTTAGTCAGTAAGAGTCTGACACTCCCTCCGCCTCACCCAGGCGGGAGCAGTAATTCGATGATTTTCCCCCCTTAAAAAAAAAATACTTATTTCATAATTTCACTGAGGTAAGATTGTGGAGTTAAGGTTAAGTCCATAGAAATGATAAAAAACAACAAAAAAAATGTTTTTATGGAATAAGCCGGGAAGCGAGCAGACGGATCACCTGATGGCAAGCAATCGGCTTCGCCTATGGACTATCAAGTAAATTAGTATTTTCCCCCAAATAAAATCTAATATTACTGGCCTTTATGACTAGATACGATTAATCAGATAATTATATGAAACACATGTCATTTTTTATGTGAGAAGCTAGTAAACGAGCAGTCGTATCACCTGATGATAAGCAATCGCCGCCCCCATGGACACCTAGAACACCAGAGGCGTTACTAGTGCGTTACCGGAATTAAGAATTTGAGGATCGTTAGGGAGTCAGGGATTGGGGATATTGGTGAAGGGAGGAGGTAATTGGGACTCCGGTAACCTCACTCATATGATGAAACACAACGCTAGTGTTGTTTGACGATGGTTTTCTGTGAGGCCGTGGTATCACTCCGCTTGGGCCGGCCCATTCGTGCCGAAGCATGGCTCTCTCACACTTAACCACTGTTTGTTTACAAACACTTATTTAATTTTCCAGCTGCTCACTGTGCATCAATTAGAGGGAATGCAGTTGTTCCTAAATCTTTGAGTGTTATTCTCGGTAAACATAATCTTATTGGTGGAGATGTCGCACCACAAGAAAGAGAGGTAAATACTTTAATAAATATTTTATCATCACTTAGGGCTCGTACACAAAACTGCGATGCGACGATGCATTGCAAAAATGTGCGAGCTCCCTCTACGCATCGCAAGGACTTGCGAATTGATTCGCATCGCACATCAAATTCTTATCTTCACAAAATCTTCTTTGCTTCTTTTTCTTGTATGCCCTAAGCAATAACAGAAGTGAACTTCTGTTCACGATCCATGTCACGACCTAGTTTTCAATTTAAAATTTGTTTGGTACGGTTGACGGTCGTCGAAGGAATGGTCACCCTGGGAGATATCTGCCCTGTCATACGAAATCCCATCGCAGCATTTCGCAGTTTTGTGTACGAGCCCTAAATTGGTCACAAAGTACCTAATGAATATATCAAGTAAAGTTAAGTTAAGGCTATATTAAGTTAGACTTTCTTTACTAAAGCTATGCACCTGTTACAGTTGTAAATTGCACTTAATCGTAAAAAAGCCCCGTTATATTATTCAAAAAAATGATACTGATAGTCATTCATATCCCCAGTAATGCTATTAGTGTCGTAATTACATACACAATTGTACCTAGTCTGTTTATAGTAATATTGATATAAATATTATATTCTTTACACTTCCAATAATTCGTACGTCAATATCAATGAAACTATAAGTAGGTATCATAAAACAGAAAATATTAGCTAAGACACAGAGCAAATTGTCTATCATTAATCCTTCTAACCGAGGTATAAATAGGAATGCCGCAAGGTGATATATTAGGTCCAACGCGGGTGAGCGATTTCACGGACTATTTTTCTCAACACCTACAAATTTAGGGATGCGATAATTAATCAAGAACGTTAATTACTTTTCCCGATAGTCTAGATTGGAGGAGGAGACCTAGAGTCTTAACGAATGGAAGGTAAATTGTCTAACTCATTAGGATTAAAGTCTTTTCCAATATAACTGTTATAAATATTCAGAAGAAACTGATTTTTAATCCAATGGGGTGTGAATAATATTGTAAACTATGTTTGATTTCTGGAGCAGTCGAGGTGTAATCGACTGCTAAACCATAATTATTTCTTTAAAATTGGATAAAAAAATCCATTTAAAGATGAAAACTAAATCATCTTTGACTGCACGGTTGGTGCGGTGACAGGGCAACCGGCTGCCGTGCAACGTGTCGCGGGTTCGATTCCCGCACGGAACAACACTTTGTGTGATCCACAAATTGTTGTTTCGGGTCTGGGTGTCATGTGTATGTGAACTTGTATGTTTGTAAACGCACCCACGACACAGGAGATAATCCTAGTGTGGGGCAACGTTTTTTTTTAAAGAAAAAAAAATGTACTAAACTATATGAATAAAAATTACTTTTTCAGGTATTTGAAATTATTTTACACAAGGAGTTTGATCCGAGAACTTTGAATAATGACATTGCCTTATTGAAATTGAAGTCTGAAGCAGTATTTGATGATTACGTTCAACCAGCTTGCTTGTGGCAGTCCAATCTCTACAAGAAACTGCCGAGTGGTGGTATTTATGGATCGGTATGTTGAATTTTCGACCTTGAACACTTGATTTTAGCTGTAGTTTTTCCTCGATCTGTGATGCTTTTATGATCTCTATAAGTTGCGTTAGTATCATTAGAAGTTTTGTCCTTTGCGTAATGTTTTTTTTTTTATTATTTGAGTGTTTGGCTGTTGTCTCGTCAGATAGAAATGATGATACGTGGCCAACGATGGAGCACGCCTGCCCATAAGTACCATATTTACTCTAGACTTGAAGACACTCATATTCCCAATATAGACAAATAAATAATAGTTGAAATGATCATCATCTCTAGATAGTACCTAAACTAGAATATTTCGGATTTTTTTTTATATTTGATGGGCCGACGTTTGACCAGTATCTCGCCTGGTGGTAAGCGATGATGCGGTTTATGATGGATCATGTCGTCTCATAAGCAACCTTTTCACTCAGGCCTTGAAGACACCCAGGTTATACCTACCCTTCAGGAAATACAGACTCAATTTTACCTTTCCTAACTATTATAGCATCCAGCAGTAATTGGTACAGTTCATCTAATAAGGAGTTTTAATACTTGAATTTGACGTTTTCTTTTTGTTTTATCAGGTGGTAGGATGGGGGTTCGACCATCAAGACATATTATCGACCACTCTACAACAAATAACTATTCCTATAGTATCGGAGGCGACGTGTTTGAAGAGTAACCCTGTCTTCTTTCACAATAAACTTAATACTAACAAGTTTTGTGCGGGTTTTGCTAATGGTGAGTTTTTCGCAGTATTTTTTCATAGGTTATTTATTGACATACATAGCAAACATAATATGACGTCTTTTATCTCCGAAGAGGTAGACTTAGGTGCAAAAAACGGCACTCAACGCCTTGTACATATAGCCATCAATTTTCACTATTTATTTTAAGAGTCCCATCTAATAATGGGTGAGGCTATTGCCATATACCGGGCACAATTCGAGACTCCGTGCTAATAATGAGATTTTTTTAAAAACCCAGTATTACTTTGGCCAACCTGGGAATCGAACCCGAGACCCCTTGCGCAGCTGTCGCACTTGCGACCACTCGGCCAATGAGGCAGTCAAGCCATATTTATTTAAGAAACACTATTCACCACTTGTTGTATCAGTTCCATAAAAGAAGGTTAAATTATGTCTATGTATAATTATGACACACAATAGAAAATATATTGTGTCTGGCATAGATCTATGTTCGGCATATCAAGTTTAAACGGACGCACATGTTTAAAAAACTGGCTCAACTATGTGAGCTAAACTAAAGCAACATTTTTATTTTTATTTATTTTGGTGAGTTATGTCATCGTCATCAACAGCTTATAACTGTTCACTGGCGAGTAAAGGCCCCTCACACGTAATATGGGCATTAATCACCTCGTTTGCTCAAGGCGGGTAGCGGTGATATTTTTTTTCTGTTGACGAGAGAAACCTTCAAAAGGCGACTAGCTTTTTGGGGAACAAAACTAGGGAGTGTGGGATTTTTACCTCACTAAAACCTCCCCGGTGGCCACCACCCGCACCTGAAGGAGGCACCGAGTCCTCTTAGTAGACCAACCCCGGAGTCCCCACGGTGCAACGCCTTCCTATGGAGACCTGTGTCTACGTAGAGCCTCTTTGTGCAGTACACGGCGGCACGTTACGACTGTCATCCTTAAGGATATAATGTGGGCGCCTAGATTGGTAGCGGTGATATAATACTTAAATACGTTTACTAGAAAACCGACGTATAATTTTAATAAATTCTAGTAAACGTTACTATAGAAACTCGTGTAACACATATACCTATTTATCTTCTTTTTTAAACCAAAATCGGCACGAATGGGCCGGCTCGACCGGAGCGATACCACAGCCTCACAGAAAAACGACGTGAAGCAACGCTTGCGTTGTGTTTCATCGTGTGAGTGAGGTTACCGGAGGCCCAATTACCCTCCACGTCCCCAATCTCCCCAATTCCTGTATACCCAACGATCCTCAAACTCCTAAACCCCAAAAGGCCGGTAACGCACTTGTAACGCCTCTGGTGTTCCAGGCGTCCATTGGCGACGCCGATTGCTTACTAACCGGTGATCCATCTGCTCGTTTACCGGGCTATGCCATAAAAAAAACATATTTTTGGAGACAAGAATTCCTTAAAACTGTGTTGTTTTCCAACCGAACCGATGTTTATTTAATAGTAAAAAAGAATAATTGAACCGCTTCAAACCGAAATAATATCTCCGATATCGTTAAACCAAATTATTTTGTTTGGAAAATCGTTCATTTTGCGATTAATCCGTTCGGGGAATTATTGAATGCGAAAGGGTATTTTGTTTATCGTGAATTTCAGGCCACAGTTTATATGTCATAGTTATATACATAGATGTTTTTAAGCGTGTAGGTAGGCAACCATCAGTTTAACTAACTACTTTTTAACAATCTGATATGTTCAACTGCCTCGTTGGCCGAGTGGTCGCAAGTACGACTGCCGGAAAAGGGGTCTCGAGTACGATTCCCGGCCGGTCAAAGTATTACCGGTTTTTTTTAAATATTTTCAATAGTGATGATGGCAATAGGCTCACCTCCTATTACATGGGACTCATAACATAAATAGTGAAAGTGGATGTTACATTGTACAGTGTACAATGTACACCATTGCCTACCCCTTCGGGGATAAAAGGCGTGATCTTATGTTTGTTATGTATGTCTCAGTAGTAGCACGGAGTCTGGAAATGTGCCCAGTAGGTATATGGCAATAGGCTCACCCTCTATTACATGGGACTCATAACATGTATAGTGAAAGTGGGTGTTACATTATACAGTGTACAATGTACACCTCTGCCTACCTCTTCGGGGATAAAAGGCGTGATGTTATGTATAAATAATGTATGTCTCAGTAGTACTACGGAGTTTGGTAATGTGCCCGGTATATGGCAATAGGCTCACTCCCTATTACATGGGACTCATAACATAAATAGTGAAAAGTGGGTGTTACATTGTACAGTCCTGTTGAAATATTATACCCTAAATTTGTTCATACAAAAGTAGTCTCTGAATATGGGAAATAAGGTCTATAATGTAGTTAGTGAATAGCGGTCACCGGTGACCGCTTGGATTCTCAGGTGCCAATGTGCATCTCTGCCTACTCCTTCGGGGATAAAAGGCGTGATGTTCACATAACATCAATAAAATTTTATAAAATTATAGTCTCCAATGTCTATTTTCATTTTTTTAAGTACACCTATGTACATAACATCACGCCTTGTATCTCCGATGGGTTGGCAGAGGTGCACATAGAAGTAACGTGAGTAACACCCACTTTTCACTGTTTATGTTATGAGTCCCATGTAAAAGGGGGTGGGCACAGTTCCAGACTCCGTGCAACTACTGAGATTTTTTTAAAACCCAGTAATACTTTGCCCGACCCAGGGATCGAATCCGAGATCCCTTGCCCGGCAATCGCACTTGCAACCACTCGGCCAACGAGGCAAGAACTAACACACCTATATATGTACTAGATTAATTTCATGACGGTTTTAATAAAGTGTATTTATCTTTACAGGGACGTCAGCCTGCAATGGTGACAGTGGAGGTGGTCTAGTAGTCTTCGTGCCAGATGTTCCAGGTGCCAAGACTCAAGAGTCTGGCGCTTGGCATGTTCGTGGTATCGTATCTACGACAGTGAGCAGAACGGACGCACCCATATGTGACCCTAATCAGTACACACTGTTCACTGATGTGGCGAAATATCGAAAGTGGATTTTGAGTTATTTGGATTAGAGTTTGAAATTGAATGAAGGAATGTAAGTTTGACAACAATAAGAGCTAATGTTATTGAGTACACTAAATGCTGATGTACAGTTTAGTTGTACAGTTTGATTACACACTGTAGGTAACGAAGTTATCTATTCAACACCCTTTTTTTTTTTTTAAGGGGGGAAAATCATCGAATGACTGCTCCCGCCTGGGTGAGGCGGAAGGGAGTGTCAGACTCTTACTGACTAAAAACAACCCCGTTCCTTCTCCTGCACGTCGAGCCGGAGCCCCGGTTACCCGTTAGGTTCTCCGCGACTCCGAATCGGCATCGGCCCTATTGGGCCCCATCTGTGGTGGTCTGATGGCTCTTTGAGGCGCGCGCGGAACGCGACGCGCCGTACGCTCGGGTCTGTTTCTGGTCGGACGGGGAGCCACCCATGCTCGCCGTCCGCAGGCCCGCGCTTACGGTGGCCGGAGATCGTCCCGCGATCCCCGACGCCCGGTGTGTCCTTCGCGATGGCTGGGTTGCGAGGAGGCAGCGCTTCGCTGCCTCACGCGTCCCGCCTCCTCCTTAGCTAGCATGACTGCTTCGCAAAAGGAGGAGACGGCATCCCAGTCCCCCTCGCTCCGCATCATGGCCTGCACTAGGCCCGGACGCGAGAGATCGCCATCGCCGATCACTTCCCTGAGGGCACGGCGGTGCTCAGCCCACGCAGGGCATTCCGCTTCGGTGTGTTCCACCGTGTCCTCAGGGCGGTCCTCGCAGTGATGACACCCGGGCGTTTCCTCCCGCCCCATCAGACACAGGTACCTCCCCAAACTTCCATGTCCGGTGAGGACCTGCGTCAGGCGGTAGGTGAGGACGCCGTAGCGTCTCTCAAGCCACTCCTCAAAGAGGGGTCTTACCGCTGCAATGGCAGCGAGCCCAGCCCTCGGTTGCGACAGTCGTTGCTGCCATTCCGCCATGAGATCGCGCCGGAGCTCATCCCGCCACGCACTTATCTGGCGCGGCAGAGGAGTTTCCCCCGGCGACGTGCCTCCGCGCGCATGCGATACACGCGCGCGAGCACCTTCGCCTCCAGATCCCACGGCGGTGATCCGGCAAGGAGGTTCGCCGACTCCCCGGAGATCGTGCGGTATCCGCGGATCATTCGGATCGCCATGACCCTCTGTGACATGAGCAGAGTCCGAGCAGGACGCCGCAACAAGTTCGGCACCCAAACAGGGGCGCCGTAGACGGCCATGGACCGCACGACCCCGGCGTATAACCTCCGGCAGGAGGCGTTTGGCCCCCCGAGGTTGGGGAGGATGCGCTTAAACGCAGCCCCCGCCCTCGCCAACTTTGGAGCCAAACGTCGGAAGTGCTAGAATTATAAAAGAGTCTACTGATCAAAAACCTTTTTTTATAGCATAAGCAGACTGGTCACCTGATGGTAAGCAATCGGCGTCACCCATGGACACCTGGAACACCTGACGCGTTACAAGAGCGTTACCGGCCTTTTGGGGATTAGGAGTTTGAGTATTGTTGGGGATTAACGGATTGGGGAGACTGGAAGGGGGGGGGGAGTAATTGGGCTTCTGGTAACCTCACTCATACAACGAAATCCACAGCATGCGTTGTTTCACGTCGGTTTTCTGTGATGCCGTGGTATCACTCCGGTCGAGCCGGTCCATTCGTGCCGTAACATGGCTCTCCCACACTTTTTATAAGCAACAAATAGATAAAGATATAATCTACGAACAACCTAGTCACCACTAAATACAGATCACCATAACACATTAATTCCAATACAGCAAGCTAATCATACAAAGTAAAAGTCAAAGTCAAAATCATTTATTTCAATCAGACCAGAAAGACACTTTTGAACGTCAACAAAAAAAAATTAAAAGTGATGCTATTTGCTCATTCCAAGGTGTAGATTCCTATGGAGAAGAACAAGCAAGGAACTTCATAGGTTACTCTTTTTCAATCAGGTTCACAATACAATTCTATAGTTACATAGTTTTGCTGTTTGGATTGTGCGAGAACAATATAACACTAAAATCCAGTCAAAGTGATCTCGATTACATAGACAACCTCTTTAGAACAAAATTTAAAAAAGGAAAAAAAAACACCTCGGCTCATTCCAGTTATACCGATAAATGTATTCCGGTAAAAGTTTAAATGTGACGTCATTACTCGTTCAGAGTTCGCTGAAGGGGACCGTTTACTTAACAGCGTAGGTACTGAAAAATGTAACAAGTTTTCATCAGATTGTTTGCTCACTTAAAGGTGGATGAGTTTGAGGAGTTTTACTTGATATTATGTCAGAAGTTTTTTTTTATTTGGATGAATACAATAGGCATGATGACGGGGTATGAAAATTAAAAATCTATTAGGCCGTCAGTTAGGTAATGACGAAATATTAACATAACATAATATATATATCAGGCCCTTTTGTCCCCGAAGGGGTAGGCAAAGGTGCAAATTACGGCAATTAATAACACTGTACAATGTAACACCCATTTTTCACATATGAGTCCTATGAATAGGGGGTGAGCCTATTGCCATATACCGGGCACATTCTAGACTCCGTGTTACTGATGACGTATGTGATTATTTAAAAATCCCGAGTCCCCTTGCCCGGGCGTCCCACTTGCGATCACTCGGCCAACGAGATAGCCAAAGGGGCAGAGGAAGAAAAAATATTAGACACGTATTTTTTATTTTATCATAGATACCGACTTCATAGACACCGACTTCTAACCTATCAGTGGGTGTGTAAGCTATAAGTATCTACGTACGACCAATAATAGTTATTTTATTCCTTTTTAGTTTTTACTTTACGTTTGTCTTTATTTTTTCATGTCGGTTTTTTTAAACGCAGTTTTTTAATTTAATTTTATACCTTTTAGTTTAGTACTTTGTATTATATGTATAGAAGATACTACGAATGTCTATCAGAATGTAACGCCTAAAACAATAGATATAGCAAAACAACAATTATGTTCAAATGAATTAATTAGACAGACGCAGGGATTAAGTTTCAAGTAATATTATCCATTATCTATGTATAATTAGCTTTATCTGCTTAATCAATCTTCTTGAGTAGTGAAGACTAGCTGTTGCCCGCGACTTCGTCCGCGTAGAATACGATTCCTGTTTTATTTCATGGGAGCATTTAATCGGGATAAAATCCTATCACCTAAGTCAGTCCATATTCTATATACCAAAGTTCATTAAAACCAGTTCAGTAGTTTAACGCGATTGACGGACAAACATCCAAATATACAAACAGAGGAACTTTCACATTCATAATATTAAGTGTGATTACAAGCAAGGACCGGATATTTAAGACGTCCGCTTCTCATGCATGACAGCACTGGTTTGAAACCTACCAACGGCAAGTACCAATATTAATTTTTCCGAGTTTTATGTACTTTGTGATTATTTAGACACCACTAACAAACGGTGATTAATGCTCTAACCTTCTCCGTGTGAGAAGAGGCTTTGCTCAGCAGTGGGCATTAATAGGCTGTTGATGATGATGATGATGAACAAACGGTGAAGGAAAACATTGTGAGGAAACCTGCGCTTATAATTTCTATTTATAAGTTTGAAATCGCCAACCCGCATTGAGCAAGCTTGGCGGTTACTGTTCAAACTTTCTCCGTGTGAGAAAGGAACCTTCGGTCAGTCGTAGCCACTTATAGAATGGTAATGTGATGTGAGGCGACAAGAAAGAATAAAGGCTAAAAAGAAATCTAACCTTAATAAATTGTTTATCTAACCATAATAAACCTTAAAAAAATAATATAAAATCAATAAACTACCCTTGGAAGCATAGGCTATGTGTCTGCACAAAACCCGCCGCCTCCAGAACCCATCCAGGGTTCGTCCGCCCAACCCTAACACCCCTTGAGCGTACGACGCGTCGCATTCAGCGCGCGCCTTAAAGAGCCATCAGATCACCACGGTTGGGGCCCAATAGAGCTGATGCCGATACGGTGCCGTGGAGAACTTAACGGATTACTGGGGCTCCAGCTCGAAGTGCAGGAGTAGGAACGGGGTGGTTTTTAATCAGTAAGAGTCTGACACTCCCTTCCGCCTCACCCAGGCGGGAGGGAGAGAGACCATTCAATGATTTTCCCTCCATAAATAAATTGTAGGGCGAAATAACGTTTATCTAGTAAGTACTAGGCCAACTGAATATTATTGTAACACCAATATTTTAATGAAAGTTGCCGACCCGAATAAGATGCTCTCAATACATATTTTTCACCTGAAAAACGTTTGCTAAAACTTTGTAAACAACACTTAAGTTTTTATTCTTTTTATGGGGTAAATGAACTGACGGAACATTTGATGTTAAGATAGTACAGACATCAAAGGAGAATCCAGTGCACTAGTATTTTAGAGATGAGCGGGGGCTTAGCGTAGGCCCCCAAATACTCCACTCACATGTAGTAGAAGCTAACACGTACATACATAACATCACGCCTTTTATCCCCGAAGGGGTAAGCAGAGGTGTACATTACGGCACTTAATGCCACTGTACAATGTTACACCCACTTTTCACTATTTATGTTATGAGTCCCATGTAATAGGGAGTGAGCCTATTGCCATATACCGGGCACAATCCCACACTCCGTGCTACTACTGAGATTCTTTGAAAAAACCCAGTAATATTTTGCCCGACCCGGAAATCGAACCCGAGACCCTTTGCCCAGCAGCCGCAATCGCGACCACTCGGCCAACGAGGCAGTCACGTTTAATACTAATATCTTTTCATAGTTCTTAAACTTACCTATGGGATGACTTAGACCGCATCATGGCTTACCACCAGGCGTGATACTGGTGAAACGATGGCCCACCAAATATTTCAAAAATATTTAAAAGAATTTAGTATCTACACTCCCGCTCATTACTAGTGCTACAAATCATAATAAGTACACCATTAAAGACGTAAAACAATAATATTTTGAGTGATTCCTAATCAATTAAGAATTAAACTTAAACTTTCCCGCGGTATACAAGATTTCTA